GTTGTTCACTCCCGCAGCGCGCGCATATCCCTCCGCTGTAAGGCTCAGTGGCTTCGGCACCCAAGGATGCAAAGCACCCTTTGACTTGGCGCCCTCGACAGCAGGGTAATACACCGTAAACAGCACACTCTCAACCTCAAACGCCGGCTTTTTCGTACTCTTCAACAACGTTTCAGACAAACGCTTCGGTTTCTCCAGTGGAATCTCCAGATCAATAGCTCCTACGTCATGCGGTCCCGAATAAGCCGGTAATCGCGATGAGAAGAACGGCTGCCATGTAATGAAGCAATAAAGCACGTAAACACCGATAATAGAGCACGCGACATATCGCCATGTTAATCTAGGACGGAGGACATGTCTAAGATGTTGTGCGAACGTTTGTAGGGTTGAGGTGATGCGTGAGAAGATGCTTGATGGCCGGGGATCGAGCCAGCGCGGTTTAGGCGCTGGGGGTTCCATTGTGAGCGGAAGATCCGGATTGGAGGAGGAGTCTGAGAAGGGGGAGTTGAGGCGATTGAGTTCTAAGTCGATTGAGTTTTGAGACGGTGGCATTTCTTGAAGGATGAGGATGATGAGTCGATGATGAAGGTAGAGGAAGTGAAGTGATGCGTTGAGTGTTTCTTGTTAGTGAGTGATGAGGGTGGCGATGACGCAAGCGGGTCTGGTGGCATTCGGCATTTATCGATTGGAGAGGGGATTATTCATCAAGAATAGAGACAATAAACTTCTTGGAATACTTTAAATACTGGGAATATAACCAGTCGTGATGGATTAGATGCTTTTTGATGACGGAAAATGGCTTTGTAGTACACATTTGCTCCATCACGATGAAGGTTGATCACAAAACACAGTGTCAGATATAGTGCATATTGGCCCCAGCTACTGTCTCACGACTGAGTCGATCAATAACTTAATGATGAAAAGAAATACGAGATATTGTTGGATTCAATGTCCATACGATGAGCAAGTGCTATACAGCGGTAAATGGAAACGCTTGAACTACAGTCATTACAACATAGATGCACTTGCTTCGCTGCGTGGCTGTTCGCATTCACCCAACTCACATCATTTACATGCACACATACTTGCACTTATGCGTAATGGTTTCTCAAATGAGAAATAGTTGTTAGAGCCTGAAAATAAAATGGGAAGTTACTGCTGAAGAGACTGTGCGATTTAACGCCTCAGTTGGATTTGCAATCTGCTTTCCCAGTCACGTTTGAGAAGTGTTCAATATGAGTCGAGTAGAACAACACGAATGAAACCACAAGTCATAGTGCAAGTCATTTTAAATGTTGCCATTTGCAATGTATAACTTGAGTTAGATTTAGAAACCGGCCAGGAGCTGAGGAAACTGAGATAGTAAGTATGACAGGTTCTGAACAAAGAACTGATCTCGTTATTGAAGTTCGAAGAAATATGTTGCAAGGACGGTGGTTGAAGGGAGTTCTTGACACATGCTCGATATATCAGCTATCATTGAGTTTCTAGTTGAGTAAGACGTTCTAGGAAATGCGTCCTAGCCCTCTCAACTATATCAACCTGGAAACGCATACTGTTGCTGAGAAAGCAGTAACAGTTGCCATAGCTTGGGCTAAATACAAACAATACGTACATGGTCTTCACTACCTGTTAAATACCGCTTCAAACTTCTATTGGTTAGCTAGTTATGAGGGATGCGGAGACTATATCTGCAGAAACCCCGGACAGCCACAGTTGTAGTCAGAAACCCGGATCACGCTGATGACATGGTGATGCTGGAGTAGGTGCGTTTGACATATTTGGAATTCAAATCTCTCACCCCACTGAGAGAAGAGAATCGAAAGTGAAGCCGCAGTTCCCGGAAACAGCACGGTGACTTGAAGGGTGGCCCGTAAATACCGCGTTTAGCTATCTCATAAAGTTCACAAGACCTTGTCGACGATCAAAACTTCCAATTATATACCGCCACGCATGGCATGTGAGAAACTTAAACCTACTACGTCGATTAGACACCCGAGTTATTCGCGTTAACGGGCGCGTACAGCTCATATCGTAGCATTACGCGGGTGATGATGGACATAACTTGCAGTAGTATCATCTGTCACTTTTCACAACCCCTCGATTCACAAACTCAAAATAATCTCCGTCTTGTATAATATGAAAGACGTTGCATAAATCTGGGGCAGATTGCATTGATCGGCAAAGTTGCAGGAGACTGGATGATATGATCTGACATTCGTGGAACCCAATATGGATAATATATTAACCATCTCCACCGACCTCGGCTTATTTTACCAGTTCTCGGGATAACCATCGACGATCGACAAGAGACTCTCACACTCTATCGTGCGCCAAGACATTACGTACTCCAGATCGGGTGCGACGTAGTTGAAACTCTCTAAGCGATCATGCATGTACCCCGTCTCTTAGATGCGACCCCAGACAACGACATGCGATGATTGTGACACGACTTGGAAAAAAAAGATGTGAGGCATATTAAGAAAGGAGCCAAGAAAAGAAAAGAAAAGAAAAGAAAAAGGCATCGTGCTCATTTTTACTCTATATCGTCCGTGGTATTCCGTCGTCATTCTAATTCCAGCCATTCCAACCATTGGTATCAAAGCCCTCCCAAATTAATCCGTCCCATTCCGTGATCTCAGCCCCTCCCGTCAGCCTACACCTCCATATTTTGTACCCGTTCACCGGAAACACACACTGAGACAGTCAGTCAGCGTTGATCTCAAATCCCCCATATTTGTTATCGTTACGTTATTTCTCTTAAGCCGGACACTTGAGAGATGTTGTTTGCTCTGCTTTTGAACCCAGTGCTGTCGTTGTAGTAGTTTGAGGATATTTGTGGCAATGTTTATGACTGTCGAGTAACGATTGTATCTCTTGGATCTCGCATTGTAAGGAGCTGATCTTTGACTTGAGGACTGCGTTTTCAGTCTTGTAGTCTTGGCCACGGGCTGTTGTTGATGTCGCGTGATCTGCTGCTTGAAGTGCCATGTTGTGTTGTATTAGCGATGATCAATATTCTTAATCCAAAAGAGGTGATGATATGAAAAAAAGAGAAAATATCTCCCCCTTTGAAAAGAAATGACATGAGCGATTAGATATATACACAGTACCCTTAATCGAGTAATTATCAACGATCCCGGGTTAGCAGAAAAAGAATGCAGTCTAGAAGCCTTTTCGGCCGAATGGCTCACCGAAAGACTCGCATAAGAATGGTGTCATAAGCACTTCATCGACCCCGTTTTCTAGTGTCAAAAGTCAGACTAGGCGTGTCAGTTGGACCCTGCCATTGGCGTGCACCCGTTTAATTCCAAGGGTTTCAATTTAGGTTGAGGGCTATTTCATCTGCCGAGTCAGGCATTTAGGAATCAGATCTAGTGGTGCATGGTACTTTTTGAGCCTATAGATCGACGATCCTGAGATCTGGTCTTGTCATCCATGTGTGTATGAAGTGTGCATGAATCACATCCATCCAACCCTTCTAAAGATAAATGTCGCACCACTGGCCAATGCCGTGGCACCGGTAAATACAATCAGTGTGCCATATCCCGTTCCGTATCCACCTGCTGCTTGGCCCTGCCACGGCATTCCCTTTATCAACGCTCCACTTAATGGGCCGGATGCTATGTTTCCTATTCCTCGTCCAGCTGAGAGGACGCCTAGCACCATTGCCGGATCAAATGATGTTCCGCTGGTTCGAGTGTTTGAGGGAGCTGATGATACCATTTGCATGATTCCAGTCCAGGCGGATGTGTATGAGCCGGCAAAGATGCCGTAGAAGATGCAGAAGACATACAGAATGGGCAGGTTTGTCGAGAAGCCCCAGAGGAGAAATGTGCTCAGTGTCGTACCGGCTGCTGAAATCATGAAGCAGTCTGTAACATGCAGCCGATCTGTAAGTGCACCCATGGCAACGCAACCAAAAACTGAAGCGACATTGATGAGCAGAACCGTAAGAGCAGATGCAAACGACCCCGCTCCAAGAGCAGTCCGAGCATACGACGGAAGATAAATCCCTGGTAAAAAGAAACCCAACGCTTGAGCAATATTTGCCAGTTGATGAAGCAGAAAGTTGCGTCTCAACGCAAAGCCCAACTTGAACGGGTTGATATGCCTCGTCGCAGAGTACGGCAAACGCGGCTTGATGAAATACGCCAAAGGCAACGTCAGTATAAACAAAGAAAGCGACCAAATTCTCAACGTAGTACGAAATCCGTATTCATGGAGAAACTTCTCAAAGAGAAGAGGTAAAGCGAAGCCAGCGAGGCCGGTACCAGACCACATGATTCCGAACGCAAAACCCTTACGTTTTGCGAACCATTCGTCCATGTAAAGAATACAAGGACAGTATGATATGGAACCACCGATGGCGTAGAGGACTCCTTGAGTGAGGATGAGATGAGTGGTGTTTTGGGAGAATGAGCTTAGGGCGAGGGCGATGCACATTATGAAGAGGCCGATCATCGGAGACCAGCGGCTTTGTTTTGGGTAGAGACGTTGGAGGCTCATTGTGAAGGGGAGGCCGAGATACATGATACCCTGAGGATTTGAGTGAGTGGTGATGGATGCGGAGGCGATAGAACATACCATTGCACAAGTACCGATGACGGCGATGGCTGATGATCCTTCAAAGGGGGCATTGGTGCTGTAGTAATCCTGAAAGACGCCAAAAGCAAATGGGAAGCCTATCAACATGGTCAGTGGACCGATACCAGCAAGTTCAGATGAGACTCACCCCATGTAAGAGCCTCAACCATAAAAGAAGCCGCCAAGAACAACCAAGCATCCTTCCCACCATCCACAGGCGGAAGAGAAGAAACTTCATTCTCATGAGTGCTCGTGAGGTCAAGACCCGAAGAAGTAAAGCCCTCCTCACGACCGGGGTTTTGACGCAACTCAATTGAAGTCTGGCTCATGATTGCTACAATTCCAAATGTTTAGATTTTTTCTTGGCTTTGGTATTCGGGGATTAAATTTTCTTATACGTAGATAAGTTGCCGATGATCGGCGGATGCGCCCTTGATCTGACATTGACATCGGGTGGCTTCCGGAGTGGAGCTTGGGGCGCGGACTACAACTTCAAGAGCGTATTGTGACATTGTACGACATAGACGTCTTTCTTGATATATTTGAGGAGATAATGGGTTAGACTTGGGTTTTAATTCTATTTTGTTACCGATCCTTCAAAAGACTGCCTTTTCAGCTGTAAAAGAACCGGAGTAGATCTTATGGAAGGACCTTTTACGCCGGAGGAGGGATCAAAATGTTTATAGAGCTATATAGTATGATCTGAGATATTTCGATATGAAGCTGGACTAATGAATTATTCTGATTGCGTAGTACACTGGTGCCGTCCCTGACCGAAATGTTGAGTTGAGTTATCAGATGAATAAGCTGAGGACGGGGACTTGTTGCTCAGCCTTGTTCAGCTACTCGAATATCTACCATTGGGGAGATTAAAGATTCTTACCACCGTTGACAATCAAGCATTATATCCATTGGACCCCTCTGAATTAATTGTCTGGCATTGCAATTGGTTCTATTGCCTCCTTAGATAATAGCAGAGAACTTAAGACTTCAATCCTATCTTATAAAAACAATCAGATACATTTAGAATATTTTAAAGATATTTTACTCCACTAAATCTATCCTAAATTATCCTAAGATACTCTAAATCTATAAGTCTTCTGGCACCCCGAAGCCTCTCCATCATGATGATCGGAAGTCGGTCGTCTCCACTATAAAGTCTCCCCCAAAACCGAGATCCGAGAACCGGAGTCTCAATTTTATCCGCTCTTCACCTTCCCCAAAGCCGACATCCCGCTCATTCCCGCCATATTCAGAGCCATGCGATCCAGTTTATCGTGCGAGCATTGCCGGTAAGATCCCTATAAACACCCATTGAGACCCTTGACCTATATGGCTAACTGGGAGATGTGAAGAAAAGCAAAGGTCAAGTGCGTTCACACCGGAAGTGCGCCTTGTCAACGATGTCAACGACTCGGAACATCGGGTTGCGAAATCACAAGACCGGTTGTGAGATCTGCTAAGAAAGCTGTGAGGAGAGCGCAGAATGAGGCGAGTTTGACGCCGAGGGATGATGTCTCGGTGATTTCGAGCACGTCGGGGTTTCAGCCTATACCGAGTCCTGTTTCGTCAAGGCAGACGACTTCATATCATGCACCAGATACTGTGGATGATCATCTCACACGCTTACCAATTGGGATAATTCTGAAAGCTCTGAACATATTCACTGCCAAGTTCCCGGAGTTGAGGATACTTCAAGCATCTGCTTTCATCAAGGAGTATCAAACTGCTCGGTCCAAGGAGAGCAAAGCGTTGCTAGCGACAATTCTTGCAATTACGAGGAAACAATGCTCCATTGTCACAGGAGATTGGTTGAGAAGTTTAAAGAGTAGCGAGTGCTATGCATCATACGCTTGGAGTACTTTATCCGATGCTATTCTTCAACCACCAAAGGTTCAAGTTGTGCAAGCTTTACTCATCTTGACGCTGTATGAGTGGGGAGTGAGAGAGTACCACAAAGCCTGGATGCACTGCGGTAAGTTCCTATTTACCCCAAGGAAAACTATGCTAATGCTATGGAGGAATTGCAATACGCATCATGCAGTCACTTCACAGCTCCCGAGTCAGCCCCCATCCTCTCGACATGTCTCAAAACAACGACACAGACGTCGTGGCCATTGCAGTAGAAGCTCGAACATACTGGGCCTGCTTCATCATGGACTGCACGATCAACTCCGGAACATATAACCCCCGCATGCTTCCAATGTCTGAGATGCACAAACTCAAAGTCCCTCGACCACTGAACTACACCGACTTTGCCTTTGGCTTTGACGCTGCATCACTTAATCATATTTGCACTGGTGATCTTTCTGGACTTGCACAAAGCTTTGAGACGATTGCGACTGGCTTTGACATTTATGCTCAGGCAATGTCATTTGTCTTCAACAATGGGCGATGTGCACCGGGAATGTGTGCACCTGAGAATTGTCCTTGGGTTCCTGGATCAGCTTGGTCTCAGTGTCGAGATAGGTTGGAAGAATGGAGGAAGAGTCAGCATGAAAGACTTTGCTATCCGCAGCATAGTGTTGTGGTGCATATGACTCTGGGACATGGGGAGTCGTTCATTTACTTGAACATGCTGTACTACTTGAGGTGAGAAGTGACCATCCAGAAACTGATGACAAGGAATGGTGCTGACAGTCTTCAAGTACTATCATGCTTCACAGAGAATACTTCCCTTTCCTACCAACCGCAGACCTTACACCTCGAGGTCCCGTCGACCCTCCTCTTCTGGAGGCAGAAGCACCACCAGGTTGGTGGGATGAAAGTGCCAGAGAACTCTTCAACGCAGCTGAGCAGATCGCCTCTTTGCTCCAAGAGGCATCCGAGTGCGGTATTCCACTAATGACTCCCTTTTCCGGATTCTGTGCTTTCACAGCATGCTTTCTCAACCTCTACGTGTTTCGGTTTCCCAGGATGAACCTCAATCGAAGCTCAAAAGCAGAACAGCTTATGAATTGGGGCTTGGAGTACCTGGAAGAGTTCCAGAATGCTTGGGAGCTAGCTGGAGGCTGGGTAAGTCTCACTATCCCATTCACGATTCCAAAGCTAACAGAACAAGATCAAAACGATTCAAAACTCATCACTCTTATACAAAAGAGCAACCGAAGACGCAGGACGATACCGCGGCAGATCAAGAGCCGATTTCGAAACTCTACACCAATCAATTCATGAGTATCGAATCGTCGATAGGTCGGATCAACATTTGCAGCAGATCAGCCATGCAGATCGAAACTCACTAAGACGGGAAGATGAGACTGAGGTAGCTAGACAAGTTCAAGTGCCAAGTGGTATGGGGATGGCTGTGAATGCTTCGGTTCCGGATCCGTTTCCGAATTGGTGGTCTATGTTGCAGGAGGTGGAGTTTACGGATGTTGGCAATTTGTGGAATGGGATGCGTGAGCTATAATCCGGGGCATTCCTCATAGCTTGATTGGAGAGGGATATGGATACTTTGAATGAACGTCGGGTTTAGTGAGGATGTGTCTACCTTCCTCCCCGTGAAGAGGTCAGGGACAGGGGCTATAAGTATTCCGCATGATGTTGCATGAGTACCACATATAAAAGACATTTGTAAAGCCAACAACTGCCTAGACACTAGCAGACATCAGCATCTGCTGCATAAACCCAGAAAAACAAACAAGGCTCGGAAACCCTCGTACAGATTCTCAGAGTACCAAGAGTCATTATTGGTTGTTCAACTGTGCAAGTTGTGCCTTTACTTCCAAGACGAACATTCGCTGAAACGAATTTAAATTTGGAAAGTCTATCTTAAGAAAACTGCAGTAGAAACGGTTGAGCGAATCGGTAGTTTTGCGGCAACCCGGCAGTGACAAGGCTTCGTGACATGGTATCTGAAAGGAGAAGCGGAACCGAAATTTTGCAGCTGGTGGGTTACATCTGAGTTGCAGATTGGGAAGTTCTGAGTCGAGGGGGCAGTATCGTACGAGGACACCGAGTCATGGCAGCATAAGAAGCGTATTATAATATCACGGTCCAGAAGAACTATTTTGAACCTCTGACACCCCGAAACTTAGAAATGAGACATCAATATCACATTGAAGGCCTCGTTTAATAGTTGCCTAAACCTGCATAACATCGCCAAGCGGCCAAGACAGGTTATATCGAGAAATACGCAACGGTCACCCCGTACGCAAATATACCGAAGTATTATAACCCGTTTCAATAAGTCAACGGAGATTTAACCCTTACAGAGATTTAGTTCATGCGGATAATTAAACGTTACATGCAGATCCTGTTAACCTCCGAGCTATTACCAAGGTTCAGAGGTATATCTCACCTGTATCTGTATCACGGCAAACCCCAGGCATAGAATGCTACCCCAAACTGAGCTTCATCCAAGGCCTTAAACTATCGTGTAACGACCTCTTTCCTATTATGTTTTGTGATTAGACATGGGATCCTTCAACGGCCACCAGTTTAGTTGCACTGAACTCGGAGTACTTTAGCCTGATTCAACTGACCACTGTATTCTTCACTGTACCAGATTGATATTAGTTATAGCATTGACAAAAGGATTCCGCCTCGGTTATCCAAACCGTAGATTGATCTTCAACACTCCTCAAACAGTACGCGCTCGGAAGTTCCGGAACTCTCCTTTTTCTACCGCATCTTTGATATGTCAGGGATTTATGATATCTGACAGAGCTTCCGCTGAAGATACGCTAAAACCTTGATCCTTGCAAATATACTCCACCCACCGGATGTCGATCATCCGGGTCTCCGCGGGCTTACGAGTTGCTCATCAAATCCACTTTGAGTGGATAATTTCCCAAACAAATTGCGACGCAAAATCTTCCAGCACAGGACAATTCGAGAAGGTCTTTTTGCATTAACATTAATTGTTATAGTATAGTTGTAGAAAAGAATAAGTCCTTGCGGCCAAGTTACTCCCATCTCTAATTCTAGCGCTAGTTCCCTTTTCTCATCATTGATGCCCAAGCCAAGCCAAACCCTTATGGACTCCTTGACACACTCGTCTTGTACCCCCAGTCATTCCCCTCCGGCCCTTTCCTCCCACGATCACCCTCCGTAGTAACCTCAGACTGCACGCTGATCTCCTGCGCAACCACGATACCGCCCCCAGCCCCAGCAGGTTTCCCAGCTTCAGGGAGGATGTGCTCATCGCTGGCCCAAGCCGTGGTCTGGGGAACCGTTGCTAGCGGGTGCGAACTACCTGGTCCTCTGCGGCGACTAGTGTTGAAACGGCTCCCGCCCATTTCGCTGCTGCGGAGCTGGTGGCTTTGCGATGCGGATTTTGTGCCGCGGCTGAAGAGCACGCTGAGACCGATCATGCTGGCGCCTTTGCGGATGAGGGGTTGGATTATGGGGAGGTTTGTGACGATTATTGCGACAAAGGTTTCGCGGCATGCCCATTGACTACCTGCGACTGCACCATCTGGACCGGCCTGACATTGTTAGTTGATTGGTCTTTTGTAGATGCTGTTGGACTTACTGTGAGAATTGTCACGGCGCGAATTGTACCCGCCATCATGATGAAGAGAGCACCGCTGAAGAGGAGCATGAGCGTGAGCCTGCGTCGCAAACTAATGTTGACGCCCCAAAGAAGCTGTACAAAGTCAGTTCTGAGTATCATCGCATTAAACAACGAACTTACAGGTAGTGGAATAGATAGCAAGTAGATATCCGTCAAGATGTTGGGAATAACGACAACCAACACATAAGCCGGCGATTTTGTCGGTTGGCAAAGAAGTCCAGGGTCTGGCGAAACTTGCCAAAAGTGATGAAAAGGCTGGCAAGACAGTAGAATCGTAAGCGCAACAACAGCGTATGTAACACCGAGAATAATATATGCGATCGTTACTCGAGTCTTGAGATGCGTCAATCCAGAACTGTGAAATGTCAGCAAATACCCCCAACACCAACAGCCAGAAACATACGTGAGACGCCCATAAAAAGCAGTAACGCAAAACTTGAGCGACCAGAGAATACAAGCATAAAAGGACCAGCCTATCACCTGAATCTTCGATCCCCAAACCCGATTATAATGCTCTTCACCGTTCATATCGATGTTTGCGCGTTCTTCATCCGTCATGTAACTATTCGTAAGGCCCTGGAACTTCGCACCGACGAGATATGCTGCTACCGTCTCTGCAGTGAAGACAAGCTACAAAACACAGGTCAGCAAACGGTCCCGTGCATATGCAGGTGAAATGCGCCACTTACACCTGTAAAAGGCATCAGATAATCATCTAATTGCCATCCTCCAAATCCAACTTGTCGAATTCGTACACCCATTCTCACTCCAATGGTGACGAGCCCCAAAGAGAGGAGGATGAATTGTTCCTCGATACCCATGTTACCGAATCTTTGGAACAAGATCTGTGAAAGCAAAAAAAAAAAAAAAAAAAAAAAAAGGAAAAAATTATGATAAAGAACAAAACAAAACACAAACGTAAGAGGTAAAGACGGCACAAGCCAAGTTTATTAAAGTGAATCCTCCTCGCCACTACCGACGGGAGCAGTTCCGAAAACCTGCATCTGGCATGTCTGCTATGACAATAAAGTTACATCCCCCTCTACCGAACCCTTCTAAAGCTCCTGCTAAGCCTGCAAAGACCATTAATTCAGGTATAGTTCACTGACCCGTGCGGCTCCGCAGCCCCTGCAGATCGCACATATAACATGGCGTGCAAGGTTTGCTTTACGGAGCATTCATCTGTGTTCGGCATTGATCTTCTTGTGCTAGTCATGCATTGGCAAGGAGTGATCCATTAATTGAAGACGGGAGACATATAGGAACGGGGATCGACCGCAGCATGAGTAATTATTCTTCAGGTGGTTAATCTTTTTGACCTGACATGTGCGTCTGTAGATCTTGTTCAAGCCATTACTATTCCCGTGACTAGTCTTATGTGAGACCCTGTTCGACAGTGGAGCTATTTTGCAAGAGTCAATAATTACTGTCAGACTTATCATTGACAAATAACTCTGTGGCTTGTAGGGCGTAAATTGCATATTTGATATACTTCTGCCACCGTAAGCGGCGAGTTGAGAAACCTGTCAGAAGGTGAAGCCACGCCCGAAACCAAACCCAACTTACAGGGTCTAGAATCTTGGCGTGTAACCATGTGTTGGTTCGACCACAGCATTATCTTGTTTGACACCCATTTCGTTTCATTGTGTCATCGGGGACCTTGTACAGTATGAGACGCCGTTGCACTAGAAGCCCCAGCCTAGTCTATGGAGCTAAGCCAACGGGTGAGGAGAAGGACTGTAGATCATATATATTCTCAGAAGACCCCTTTCCCCTCACTCTTTTTTATTGTCTCTTAATTCAAAATCACCTCATCTTAACATTTGACATTATTACAACCGAGCCAGAAACTATAACTTGATTCTTTATTATCCTTATTATCCAATTGGTCAATATGGCTTCATCATTCGACTTTATCGTCGTAGGAGGTACGTCCAACCGCCTGACTCAATCCTCCCCCCCCTTCACATTTAGCCCATTGCCTGAGCACATTCGATCTACACCACTAAACAACAAACCACCATTCTAACCAAATTTTCCTCCCGCAGGCGGCCCAGCTGGTAGCGCCCTAGCAGCCAACCTCTCCCGCACCCCGAAAAAACCCTCCGTTCTTCTCCTCGAAGCAGGCGGCACAAACCAAGACCGCGACCTCCGCGTCGACGGCCAACGCTGGACCACTTTTCTAAACCAGGACATGAACTGGGGCTACAAAACGACACCCCAAGAATTCGCCAACAACCGTGAACTAGATTACTCACGTGGCAAAGGACTCGGTGGTTCGAGCGCTATTAACTTTGGTGTTTATAGTATTGGTGCTAGAGATGATTATGAAGAGTGGGCGCGCATCGTAGACGATGATGCGTATCGCTGGGATAAGATCCATAACCGCTATAAAGGTCTAGAGACTTTTCATGGGAAGCTTCCTGAGGGTGTTGATAAGAAATATGCTGCGCCTAAAGCGGAAGACCATGGTTCTGAGGGGAAGCTTCATGTTGGGTATGCTGGCGAGTGGGAGAAGGATCTTCCCCCTGTGCTGGATCTTTTTGAGAAGGCTGGTTTTCCTTTGAATCCTGATCATAATTCTGGAAATCCTTTGGGAATGTCGGTTTTGATCAACTCGAGTTGCAAAGGACGGAGATCAACTGCCAATGATCTTTTGGAGCCAAAGCCTGAAAATCTTACTGTTTTGACGGATTCTACTGTTCAGAAGGTTCTTTTAGAGGGGAACAAGGCTATTGGTGTTGAAGCCAATGGCAAGAAGTGTGAGTCCTCCCTTGTTTCTCATACTCAAGCTGTGGATGAGGATATCTTGACTTTATGAGTTCACCAGGCCTAACAATCACAGACCTCGCCTCCAAAGAAGTCATCCTCTCAGCTGGAGCTCTCAACACCCCCAAAATCCTCATGCACTCCGGCATCGGTCCCAAGACCCAACTCGAACAATTCAACATCCCCGTCATAAAAGACGTCCCCCGCGTAGGCCAAGGCCTCCGCGACCACATGTTCACTCCCCTAGTCTACACCCGCAAACCAGGCGACACCGCCCGCGACACATTCTACGGCGACAAAAAAGCCATGGACGAAGCCCTCGAGCAATGGCGTCGCGACGGTACCGGCCCCTGGACGAAATTTGCCTGCGAATTGGGCATTGGCTGGTTTAAGCTCGATAAGCTTGTTAAGTCAGCAGAGTTCAGGGCATTGCCGCAGAAGGAACAGGAATATCTTATGAAGGAGACGGTGCCGCATTATGAGATTCTTACGCACTTTCCTATTCATTGGTTCATCCCTGACTTCCCTGACTCTGCTCTTAACTACTCCTGCATTCTGGTGTTTTACTACAATGCTCAGAGTCAAGGAGAAGTTACCCTTCAGTCATCCGACCCGAATGTTCCTTTGAAGTTCGACCCGAAATTTCTGGCTTCACCATTTGATCGTCGTGCAGCTATTGAGTCTTTGCGCGATGCATTCCGGCTCGTCAAGCATGATGGCTACGCTAAAGATAACGTGGCCATGCTTGCAGGACCGCAGGGTGATTCAGATGATGAGCTTTTGGAGCATTGGAAGAATACTATTTCTTCGAGCTGGCATATGACTGGTACCACAAAGATGGGTAAGAAGGGAGATCCCGATGCTGTTGTTGATAGTGACTTCAAGGTCATTGGATTCGAGGGTCTTCGTATTGCGGATATGGGTGTCGTTCCTGTTCTGGCGAGTTGTCATATTCAGTCTGTTGCCTACGTGACTGGTATTACAGCCGCTGAGAAGCTCATCGCTGAGTATAATCTCGCATAGGTAGTTGGGAAACAGAATAGTTCAGCTTAGCGATGTTTAGAGCCCATTTACCAATGAATGATAGAATACTCTGAAGTGCAATATACACTCATATTGACTATATATATGGCTTCACGCGACCATCCAGATCACATGTCCTAGCAAACATAGGCCGTACTTCACAACCAGTAGGATGAAGAAGCCCATCCAATTCATTATATTCGTAATCAAGAGCATCCTGCCAGATGGACACGTTGATATTCCGACCTCGAAAATCCCCCTCCATATGATCCTTCCATTTAAAGTTATTCGCCTCAAACCATACCCCCTCCGCCTTCAACGACCACCAATACCAGCTCTCGATAAAGTTCCATCCAGTATCACCAGCATCAGGGTCCTTGAAATCGAACAGATTAAGCTGGACTTTCAAGAACAATTCTGGCCATTTATCCTTGAGTCTCTTGAGATGTTTCTCCCAATGTTCAACGTATGATATCCAGTATCCGAACCAGAAGACAAGTTTGAGAGTTGTGACAGAGGGCAGCTTTGATTTCACAGCGAGAATATCGTTGATGAGCTTTTGGGGAAACATCTTCCCCCCTCGGCCTTCATGTTCCCAGAAAGACCGATCCTCCACGGGATCTTCATCTTCATCTTCTTCAAGATCGGAATCTGGATAATAGGAGATAGTCGTCTGGGACATTTCAATGATGAGAGTTTTGGAGCGTTGCTTCATCATTTTTGAGCAGGCAATCCTAGGGACGATACTCCAGTCTCCAGTGGCATATGTGCTCGGTTCTTGAATAGGTATGACAATAGAGTGGTTTCTGTAGAGCCGAGGTTGGAGATCTTCTGATATGACTTTATGAATGTAAAGAAGAGGAAAGTTTTGCGGAGAATAAGCGGTTTGAGACGTAAAGGCATTGCTGAACTCGACGTCGTCGAGGACGTAACTATAGATCATGTCCCGGACCTCCCGGGGCAAATGTAGAAACGAAGGCTGAGAATCCATGGCTGCGAGGGAATTCAACATGCCTGGATTTTGGGACGAGAACTGGCGTTCGAGTGAAGAAGCGTTCTTATATCAAGAGAAGTATCCACCGTCAAGGCTGAAATCCACCGCTAACGGGATGGTTGCCTAGGAATGGGGAAAATTGAGATTAATTAGCCCCCTTTGCACCGAATGAACTTGAGACGATAAGAAGCTAGCTTGATCAAAGTGGTACGATCAAAATGAGATATTACCCGAAATCCACGGTTCAGAACATGAGGCTATTCAGGGGGAAAACAAGAAACTTGGACTAAAGGTTCACCCTATACCAAGTTCTGTGTGGTGATTATAAGCTCTCAACCACAGGTCTCAACTGCAAATAACACATCTGTTCACCCTATACAATTAGAGTTGCCCCAACCATAGCGATAGAAACACATGTACTGAGTCGATCCAAAGGCAGTTCGTATTACTGCTGAAGATCGTCGAGACATCTGAACGCTTAGCTGTATTAGATGATTTAATGGCCTTGACCTTGATGCGTTGGTGGCTACATAATCTTCCATTTTCAATAGCCTCCTTGGGAACAAACAGTAGCCTTTAACCAGTATTAGGCTTTCTTGATAACCTAGATAAATCAGAGAAGCGTTTTGAGTGTGAGAAGAAGATATGAACATATCTCAAATGCAGGTGCATCTCAAATACTCTTGAAAAACGCACCGATTAATTCCCGGATATGCTGCTGAGTTATCAATTCTGTCACTCCTGTTCTTCTCACAATTCCCATCCCTATAGGAGCCCACTGGAAGTGTCACTTCTTACTTTCAGGCCACTTCCAAAAGATATTAGATCCCTCAACATCCGCCAACGGATTCCCTTCGCCATCCTTCGCAGTCCCAAATTGTTCATCAAACCCGCATTTTCTGTAGAAATCGTCTTTGCCCAAGGCGCTCACTACTGAAGCGCAAACTCCTTCATTCTCCGCCTGGTCAAGACCCCATTGCACAAGCCTTCGACCGATGCTCTTCCCTTGAAAATCTGGATGTACTGCTAAAGCTTCGAGATACCACGATTCAGCACGCTTGCCGCTCCATATTGAGTCAAAGTGGGGATATGCTCGCTCAATGATGTCTTCTTCTTTGGGGTCCACGGCTCGACTTGGTTGGGCCCAGGCGTGAATCTTCATGGCGACAGAAGACAGAGGTTTCAGCAAGTTGCCTGTACATGTTAGCTCTGATAACGACTCAAGGAGAGATATACTAACGAGGGTCGAAGAACCATAGATCAAACCTTTTACCCCCTTCACCAAGTCTTGCCCACTGCGCAATTCCAGCAACGACCTCTTTACCATTCTCATCCTTAGCCACCGCAACGAGCCATCTCCAACGATAATCCCAGAAATTGACCCGTGCGCGTCGCAGCCAGTACAGATCTACATCGTCAGGGTACTCGTTCCGATTCGGGTGGATCAGATCGCCAAAAAGGTTATCCCCCCAAAAAGCCTTTGACATGACATTTGCGATCTCCGGAAGTTCCGAGTAATACGCATCGCGTAGCACGATCTCGGACATTGCGAGTCAGTTGAAAAATGATCGTGTGAGCTTCCGTAATGAGGATGCAACATCCAGGAGTCTTGTATTTCTTGGGAACTGGTCTGAAACGGTCCAGAACTGCTGTTGGCTGGGTTTTCAACATGATCCGATTAGCCCGCTTCAATCCTTGTCCCCAGGTCCTTTGCGTTTTTTTTTTTTCATATCCTGGACGCTGGAAGGGTTCCGCGAACCTGGCGTGACACGACATGGATGAAGCCCTTGTACTTGCATATGAAGCTCCACTCCCACTACATGTCTCAAGGCATCACTGACTCAAAACACCGAGAACTTTTGTCTGAATCAAAACAGCATGTTGATAATGAGTTGGTTTGGCTTATCGTTTTGTAAATACATCTTGTTGATCCTCATACGTGACATTCCACGCAACCTCCTTATTAATGATCAACTCCTGACTCCCAGCTCTTGAACTTGATCCCTCTTCGGACACATCCCGACTATTACTCCTGCTTGATCTATGTGCCGCGGTAGTTTGGTTTGACACCTGATCTGGTCTCCAATTCGCGCTATGAGCTGTCGCTGTCGCCGACGCAGCATTCGTAGAGCGATTGTTCCGTAGTGATTGAAGTGCATATGCCTTGCTTGAACCCGACATAGTAAAGTCAAATGCGACTGGGAAGCCCATACCGATGGAGAAGGACTTGAGGAAGTTCTTCAGGTTGGGCATGGTCGCGGAGATAAGAGACCATGCGATCATGACTTGTTGGCAGATGAGGGTGTTTGTAACGGCGAATTGAGGTTCGAGAGATGATGGGTATCTTTGAGAGTATGCGAGATGAACGGAGGAAATGGCGATGAGTGGTATTCGGAATGAGAATGCCGTGACGACTTGACATTTTCGGGCGAAGGAGATGTTGACGGACCACGAGAGGTGAAGAACGAGAAGCCAGGTCAGTATTTCGGTCAATATGTCGATCGCAGTGATGACGCCCCAGCGCACATTCTACCAACAACAATTAGACTCGACTTTGAAGGGTGCAGATGTCTCATACCTGATCTGGGCATTGCTTGACGTTGTTCACAGTCAATAGAGTCCCGGCGCGGCAATTTACAAGCCATGCCAAACTTGAGCCGACGCCCCATAGTGCAGTGAACATCATGAGTGCCACGCAAACCATTTTATTCTTTCCAGGCTTGGAGCTGATGATGCGATGGATGAGGGCGAGAACAGAACATTTCGCGAGACTGAGCGCTAAGAGACAGAGGATGACAGAGGCGATCATGCACTACCGACGAGTATGTCAGCACACGAAATCAACGGTAGAGAATGACGCTCACCTTTGAAGATATCGCCCATTGCTCCGACGTTGTAATCGAGTTGAACTTCCCCAGGCCATGACTCAATCCAATGAAAACTGCAATCGCTTGAGCTAGATGTAAAACCTATCAAGTCAGCATCCCATGAAAACACCTTCAATCACATGTGTTTCTCACCGTCGCAGCAGCAAACAAAATGTCATCGAACCCAAACATTTTATACTTGATATAAGCCCTTGCCAACGCAATAAGCGAGGTGTAGATCAGCGACAAGATCGTCACGATCCATAACTTTCCCGCATGATCGTTGAATGTAACGGGAGCAAACCGATATAGACCATCTTCGCTCGCATCCATGTTTCAAGATCTGCGAAACTTGGAGAGAGATGTGAGGGAAGAGTTCATTACATCACATGGCAGAGAGCAGGTTTATTTGGAAATGCAGAATTATTAAACTTTTACTCATCCTTGAACCTCTCAGACTCTTGGTATTGGCATTCATGGGCTCGAACCAACGGCACAGCAGTTACCTCGCCAATTTCCGGCATCGTATCCTCGAAGGATTTTCCGCTGAAGATATTTCTTACGTATTCATTGGTGACGGCTTCACATGGGGGCCCCTGGTTAGTAGATTGGATCATGCAAGCCACGGCATGGGTGAACCAACAGAGGAAGCAATTCGTAAGATGTGGTGATTGGTTTAACCGAGAAGACGGAATATTACTCACGCAATGTTTGTGACTGCCACGACGAGATCGACGATTCTGTTGGTTTGAGTTTAAGATGTGGCTGATCTTTAATGGAACTACATTCTTCTCCAAGCTTGAGTGTTTGACAACGTGGTGAGACCTTATGAGGAAAAACTTCATTTTGGCTGAAGTCAATGCCTGTGACCGCCAAGACTGTTAGTCCTTTGTGCCGCATAGGCTCCACCCGTGTTCCTGACACCAAGGCTCCTCTTCTCGAATGACTCCATTCTACTTCGCCTAAACATGACCCAAAAAGCAAAACTCGAACCAGTCCAAGAATCAGGACCTTCGTAACTGCAATGGCCATGACAATGACACGACTTTGACAAAGATGTCGTTGAATTGAGTCAGCTAAGACAGCGGAAGAGCTTCCGGGCTTCGGCACGGGACGTGGGACCACCAATTAGTCAGGGTCTAGCCAGGGTCTCAAGTCGAACAGGGGTTGAAGAAGTTCAGCAAGGGTTGAGGCAAGAGTAGAGGAACTGTTGGCGGGTGTACCTCCTAAAGAGTGTTCCATGCCGCACTCCTGCATTTCTATTACCGAAGCTGCTGCATGTTCACATCTCTTCTCAATTTATTTTATTTCCTACACCAACTCTCTCCTCTTCGTTTCATTCTGTACTTGGAAAAGAAGTGATTGGAAACGTCAAAATGTCTGCTGAAGGCGATAAACGATCAGTTGACGTTCAAGATGCCGCGTATGGCATCAATGAATCCAGCGAAAATGTCGACGAGAAGAAGGGCAACGCGGCTGATCGCGCCGACATGTACCGTATGGGCAAAACTCAAGAAATGACGGTTCGTCGCAAACCTCTCTTCCATAACTGTGTCAAGCTAACAAACATGACAGAGAAACTTTCGCTTTCTGTCCATCTTTGGCTTCTCCATGATTCTTATGGCGTCTTGGGAGTTCTCCCTTAGGTAAGTTGCGAGGATAAAAATCATAATTTGCAATTAGCTGATCTTCCTAGTGTCTCAACAATCGGTCTCGTCAACGGCGGTACAGCAGGACTAATCTGGATGTTCTTCGTCTGCTGGATGGGCTTCCTCCTCGTCAACACCTCCATGGCCGAAATGGCCTCAATGTCAGCATCGCCACTCCCTTCCTATCATCAATTACTAACAGAACTACAGGGCTCCTACAACAGGAGGTCAATACCACTGGGTCTCCGAATTCGCACCACCGCAATACCAAAAGCTCATCAGCTACCTCATGGGATGGATGTGTGTCCTCGGCTGGCAAACATCATGCGCTTCATCGGCCTTCATCGCTGGAACTCAAATCCAAGGCCTCGTGGTGTTGAACTACCCTGATTATGTTCCCAAGCCATGGCATGGAACACTACTTACTATCGCTGTAGCTGCTTTCTCAGTTGTGTTTAACACTCTCCTTGCTAGAAAGCTGCCCTTGATTGAAGCGACAGTGCTGGTTATTCACATCTTTGCCTTCTTCGGCATCTTGGTTACGCTTTGGGTTCTTTCACCGCGCGCTGATGCCACTGCTGTGTTTACTGAGTTCACTGATGGTGGAGGTTGGGGAAGTATCGGTGGTTCAACGCTCGTTGGTATTCTTGCGGGTGTTTTGCCGTTGCTTGGTGCAGATGCTGCTGTGCATATGTCCGAGGAACTCCGTGACGCAAGCCGCACGCTACCAAAGGCTATGATCTCAACGACTGTTTTCAACGGTGCGTTTGGCTGGATCATGGTTATCACATACTGCTTCTGCATCGGTAACCTTGAGGAGGTCATCGCTTCACCAACAGGATATCCCTTCATGCAAGTCTTCTTGAACTCAACTCAGTCGACGAGTAGTGCTACTGCAATGGCGTCTTTCCTCGTTATCATGACTGGTTTCTCCAACCTCACCATGGTAGCTACATCGTCTCGTCAACTCTTTGCTTTTGCACGAGATCATGCAGTTCCGTTCAGCCCTTGGTTTTCAAAGGTTCCAACAGGATGGGATGTTCCTATCAACGCTATCCTGACGACGTTCTTGATCTCGAGTCTGTTGTCTCTCATCAACATTGGTTCAGCAGTCGCCCTCAACTCGATTACTTCACTCGCAACGACATCCCTTCTATCGAGTTACATCGTTTCAATCGGATGCATGATCTGGCGACGATCCACGAATAGTCCTCTTCTCAAGTCCAAGTTCAGTCTCGGAAGATGGGGCCTTGCTGTCAACATCGTCTCCGAAGCTTTCCTCGTCATCATCTTCGTCCTGGCTTTCATGCCTGGAAACCCTGACCCGTCTCCATCAGAGATGAACTGGAGCATTCTGATTTACGGAGCTGTCGCGGTGTTCTCCGTGGGATATTATTTATTCCGAGGAACCCATCGTTATGAAGGCCCTGTTGCATATGTACGAAAGTTGGAGCAGTAGAGGCACAAGACTTGTCTCCTTAGAGTATTCCCTGGTTTAAGTCAGGGGTTACGCTAGTACCCGCAGATTAATCTAATAAGATGATGTATTCACTCTCCGCACAATATGTAGCCTGACCGTGTCGATATGCTGATAACGACTAAGTTGAACCTTGAGACAGTAGAACAAATCAATTTCCCATCTATCGTCCACCAACGCCTAAACCATAACCTTTTATCATCCGTCTTACTATTCCTACAAATTTACATAATAAGGATCGGCGTCTCACTACTAACGATCTCCGTCCACCTCCTCGTACCCCGCATACTCCAAATCGTCCCCAACGCCTTAACCGCCACAGGAATACTTCCAAAATTCGTAACACTATACAAATCCGCCAACCTCCCCGCAAAGAACTCCCTATGCTCCGGAAGAATACTCTCAGCAGCAGCTATAAAGTACGTCCAGACAAGAGCGTGCGCTCCTTTGGTGGAACAATCAAGGTCGAGGACTTTTAGACGGAGTTGCTCGACGAGATGGATAGATTCGTCGTCGCTGAGGGAGGACTCGGCGCGTCGCCGGTAGATGCTGCAAGCGTCGAAGATGGCGGAGCGGATGGTCTCGATGTTGGTGAAGTGTTCGGATTGTGGGGGGAGCTCCGGGTAGGACATGAAGTCGAGGTATGCTTCTGGGCCGGTCAGGACTTTGAGGCCTTTGGATTCGTTGGCTAGGGGGACGCCAAAGAGTTGGAACCTAAGCTCAGTCAGTAAATAATTCAGAAAAGATTCAGTAAAGGGTCTTACATCTTGATCTGCTGAAGAAAAAACTCCTTCAGGCTCGGTGGTAGCTTTGATATCCAGTCTGGATATTGTGTGAGGCAGTTGAGCATCTCGAGAAGGTATGTGTAGTTGTCGGCACCCGTGATTGTTTCACCAACAAGAAGTACCAAAATCGTTGCAAGGATATATGGGTTGAAAAGTTGTTCGGGGCTAAGTTGAAGTGAGTCCCGCCGTAGCTTCTGGACAATAGCTTGATGGCCTGCTTCAGCGATGCGTTGTAACTTCGGATCCCTTTGTCCTAGATGAAACGCCGATACGACTGATACAGCTTGTGCAAGATTCTCATCTTGGTGAGCAAGCGGTAGAATAACGTCTCTGTATCCGTTGCTGAAGGAGAATGAGTCTAGTACAACCATGTGTCCAGCGATGATCTCAGAGACTAGATACGTCAGAATGGAGGTCACAAAAGGAGGTTGGAACTTACAATGACTGAACAACCTCCTTGTTTGGGCGTTTGAAGCCTCATTCAGTGCTGGATGTATCGTAACTCCATATCGATATGGCACAACAGCACCAAATTCAGAAGCCGAGTCATCCGACGACGGCGACGTAGCATCATCAGAAGACGCAGAGTCAGGAGGATTTGACGAAGTAGGACTATCAGAAGCAGACCGTCCCTTCGTCTTCCTCACCCTCTCCTTTCTCACCCTCTGCGCAGAATCAACCCATCTGAAACTCTTGCCAGGCTGAGTTGGACTAGGTTCCGAAGGCGTCGATGTTGAAATAAACGTCAAAGTCAAAGGCTTCCCATCACCAGGTGTGGAGTTGGCAGCCATGTGGCTACTGTACCTACATCTCAAACCCTGCCCAGAGCAAGAGATGCCCTTTTTCTGACACTTGAGACATTGCGGTTCTGTCTTGTCACACCTAAGACGCCTCTTGCAGCACTCGTAACAGCCTAAACTCAACGTCAGCCCTATAGCATTATCAATGCGAGAGGGTGGAGTTCACGCACCGTCATTCCTCTTAGCAAGCGACATCTGAAAGCCAAGAAACCTAGTTGAGAATAGGGACCCTCTCTCTCGGTGTCTTACTGTTTTGGGGAGACCGTAATCTCTTATACTCACCATGTTTATTAGTTTTCTGGGAGGCAAAGGTTGATGATTCACGAGAGCCCCGGTATGTGAGATACGCGCTTGCGTGATGAGGGTTACGCATGACGATGCGGGCAGAGTTTCATGCTCGACGCTATTGATTGGTGAATTGCCAAAGCTTCTAGATCAGGGTCTGGACAAAACTAGCGGCAATTCCGGGCGACGCCGAAAAGTGACGGCGATGCAATGAATAGGAGTACGGGACAGTGACAAATATCACCGGGAGAAGCCATGGCGTATTGATGACAATTACCGTGCCGATTGTATGTTGTTATCTATTTCAGGACAAATCACCAACAGTTTGGCTCAATGATCGTCAACTAATTGGACATCTTGATGTTCTCTTTGTATCTATCACAAGGGAGGCTCATGGAAACAAGCTTCAATAAACGCCACAGCCCCCCCAAAGAACAAGGCTAGAACCCAAATCGAACGGCCTTTTTCTCACATGGAAAGAAATAAACGAAGGATAAAAAGAAAACTGGCAAAATATCTCACAGTGAGACACGTCATGGCTGATACCTCAAACTTAGCAGAAAATGGGAACCAGCTCGCAGCCACAACACATCAGCCGCACCGTCAACGCTAACTTACCATGGCAATTTCGAGCCTTGAAGTGATCGCCTTTGCCGAATCTATGTCTGCGGGAAGGGAATCTCGATCTCGGAAGCTCTTCCCCCAGCGACTTGCTGCGGATATCTTCCCTCTCAAGCGAAACGTGGGTTAGAGCTAAGCCTGTAGGTCAACCCCGCCTGGGGAAAAGTAACCATAGGGGCATGAGAATTTTCGCATAATTAGGAATGCCATAATTACCGTTGGTTAAATATTTCGTAACGAATGAGGTGATAGTCTGGTATTTAGTTGTGTTGTCAAAGTGAAATGTCTCGGTGCAATTATGAACTCTATTTCCCACATCATTGAAAGCGGCCGGCTCCGAACCCAATATTACGGGTCAAAAGAGAGACTCGAAGCTATCATGAACCCCGCGGGGTATTTTGTGCTAGTATTTATGCCAAGGCCATGATTTACATAACTTGATAAGAAGCCCAACACCCATTCGTAGATCCTCGCGTTAGTTATCTCCCTTATCCGCTTATCGGCCTTCGGTTCGGTTGATTAGTTACCGAGAAGGGCAGGCTATCACGAGAATTTTTCTCTACAGATCCATATTTATCATGCTATTCCCGGTTTTTATTCTGGAGCGGTATCGGGACTATCACGTTAGATTTTCTGACCGTAACATGACTTTAACAAGCTACTTAAGATTGCGATACCGCAGATCCTCACCTTGTATTCATTGCTCGAAAAGTATTGAGTGAATATGGCTGAAAAAACACCCCAATCCAATTCAAATTCTGAAACCATGTTGTGAGTTTGTGATACCCTTTTTAAGTGAGAAATGTTAATGAGGGAAGCAAACCAATCAACACTTTACGTCGTGAACCGACGAGGTCAGAGATGCAAGATCTCGAAATCATCGCCTCAGCTGGTGCATCTTTCCGACCTGGCGACATCCCCCCGCCCCCAGACGGCGGCATCGAAGCATGGACGCAAGTAGCAATGGGCTGGATCGTCATCTTTGCAACATGGGGCTACGTCAACTCCTTTGGAAGTTTCCAAGCCCACTATACCTCCACACTCCCCCAATCACCTTTTCAAATCTCATGGATTGGTTCAATTCAAGTATGGTTTACGTTCTTTGGAAGTGCATTCTCTGGAAGGTTGTTAGATGCTGGGTTTTGGATTCCGACGTTCCTTGTTGGTGCGGGACTGCAGCTCATTGGGATTTTCATGATGAGCTTGTCGACTTCTTATTGGCATCTCATGATCACGCAGGGTGTTGTTACTGGTATTGGTGGGGGTATTATCTTTGCGCCTTCGTTGGCGTTGGTGGCGACGTATTTTGAGAAGAGGAGAGGTATTGCTATTGGGCTTGTGACTACGGGTAATTCTCTCGGTGGTACTGTTTATCCTCTTGTTGTTCGAGCGCTTCTTCCTCGGATTGGTATGCCGTGGACGTCGAGGGTGTTGGGGTTCATTAATCTGGCTGGGTTTATACTCGTGGCTATTTTTATGAGGCCAAGGCTTCCGCCGCGACAGACTGGACCTATTATTGATTGGACTGCGTTCAAGGATACGCTTTATGTGTCTTATGTGAGCGGGTTGTTCTTCTTTGTGTGGTCTGTGTATTACACTTTCTATTACGTGAGTACCCACTAATGCTCCCCCCTCTGTACTTCTTACTGACAACACTTAAGCTTGCATCTTTTGGCCAACAAGAAGTCGGAATGTCCTTCGCAGATTCATCCCTCATTACCACTATAATCAACGCCGTCGGTCTTCCAACCCGAGTCCTAATCCCCATCGTCGCCGATAGAATCGGCCCATTAAATACCATCGCACCAGCGGGTCTTTGCGTCGCCATCGTCGCGTACACATGGGTTGCTGTGCACAACGTCACAGGCGTTTACATCTTCTCCATCTTCTACGGCATTGCATCTGGAGCTTTTCAAAGCCTCATGCCCACCGGAGTCGCCAGTATCACCAAGAGACTTGACACCATCGGTACGCGAATGGGCATGTGTTTCAGTCTCATCTCTTTTGCAGGTCTGTCTGGACCGCCCATTGGTGGTTTACTTCAGGATCAAAGTCTTACTGGGGCTCATATCTGGGCTGCGCTTTCGAGCACACTATGTGCGGTGCTACTGGTGCTTGCGAGAGTATTGAAGGTTGGTTGGAAGGTAAAGACTAGATGTTAGATAAAAGCATATAGATATTCTCATACTCTAGCTAGACTAATACTTAATTGAAGTCGTAAAATTTCCATCCCGCTTTGAAATCCTTCGACAGCTCATCGTTCAGAATCAGTGCCTTGACCATCTCAATCGGTAACCCACCAGTCCTCAAAATAGCATCATGATACTCCTTCTGCGTCATCTTCCCACTATCAACCGCCATCTCCCTCAACTTCCAAAGCTGGAGAGCACCAAGCATATACCCAGCCTGATAAAGCGGCGAATAAGTCCCTTCAACAGATCGTCTCACCTCACCTTCAGCAGTACTCCTCTCGTGATTAATCCTCTCAACGAGCAAATCAACAGCCTCTTGAGCCGTCATCTCACCTAAATGAAACTTTAGAGAGAAAATAATCCTCAGGCAACGGTGCATGCGCCACCAAAGTGCACCGATCCTATTCTCGGGCGACTTATGGAAATCATCTCGCGCATAGAACAAAAACTCCCAATACAGCGCCCAACCTTCTACAAAGAAAGGTGTGTCGAAGATTTCTTTTCTATGAGAGTTATAGCGGTCTGCCATGTAGAGCTGTAATCGATGACCAGGGAACATCTCGTGGAAAGCAGTCGCGTGAGCGAAGTGTTTGTTATTTCCACGCATGACCATTAGTTTAAGATCATGTTCCATTGATGAAACGGGGTAGGAAACTTGAATAACTGGACCGCCGAGGAAGAAAGGGGAGACTTTCTGTTGTTCTGCGTCGATCATCGTCATGCGCCATGTTGAGTTTGCTAAAGGGGGGATAGTGACGAGATCGCGTTCTGTAACAAAGAGACTTCCTTCGACGACTAGGTTGCGGACGAATTCTGTTTGCTTGCCGGGCTCGACGTAGTCGTTTTTGACGTGTTCGAGGGCTTTCTTCCATTTTTTTCCGTAGCCGAGAGCTTCGGATTGTTTGATCATTTCTTTTTCGCACCATGCGAATTCTTGGTTTCCAATCTTGATGAGTTCTTCGGGTGTGTAGGGAATCATCTCGGCTTCGAGTTCAACTTCCAGCCCTTTGCGTCCGATTGGTTCACCGACGATGGCATCTTCACCATCATTTTGGTTCATCCCGGCCAAATTTTTCTGGACGACGTCAAGATAGCTCGTCAGGGATGTATTCGCCGCTTGCCAAGGTGTTGTAACCCAGAAGTCGAAAAGAGGATCATAAGTCGAGTAAAACGTAAACCATTCGCCCAAAAGGTCAAGAAGATTGGTAATAGCTTTACTCGCAAGATATCCCGTTGTTTCAGTAACGTTGAAACCACCATCTTGCACCTTTGTCTGTACTTTGGCGATAGACTTGGTGATGTTGTTCAGCAAACCAGCTGTTTCTTTGGCCTTCATCGGATCAACATCCTGGCGTGCCTCCAGCATTCCAACAAGATCATCTGCAAACGGCAACAAGGGGTCATATTTCTCTTTCGAAGCTTTCTGAAGATCCAGATTGTTGAGCTGTCTTGTATGGTATGTGTTGAGCATGATATAGTCCACTTTGCCCTCTTGATCGAGATGTTCAAAATCAATCTCGCTAAGAATATCCTGCTCACTCTTGTGATAGGTCGTCAAGGCTTGGTAGCGGCGTGGTGCCATGTCAATGTTGTAGAACTCGTCGAGTTCACCGAGATCTGCTTGTGTGCGGATGACATGATCTGTCATGGACAAGTTGAAGGAGTCTCGTGCGACAACGAATGAGCCCCATTGGCCACCAAAGTGGCTTCCTGCTAATGCCATCTTTGTAAGTAGCATTAGTATATATTCGACGCTGAAGAGACAAAGAAGCGAACACAAGCTGAACATCTTAAAAGAGGGGGTTTTGAGTTATCCTTTATACTCCAAGAGATTAACGTCGTACTACTCATACTTTGGACATGTAACCCGTTAATATCGGACGTGTGATCCAGGATGTCGATCAGTGCGACTTTTCAATGTCTTGTAAGATAAAGCAGGGTTCCCCGCCCGTAGGAATCTGGGCACTTTTGATACTTCCAGTCATACAAGGATCACGATATACTCTATTTGGTAGGTAGATAGCTGCACTATACGTCATATTCGAAAGACTGTTCTTTTTAGTGTTTGATTAGGAATCGGTTCCATGCAGAGAAACGTTGCATGATATAGCGGTGGATAACATTAACCTATCTCAGGTAGGATTTATGGTTGTTTTATGGTTTTGATATCGGGGTGTTCGGCATGAAGATTTGAGATGATTGGTTGGTTTGGTTGGGAATACGATGGGAGATCACTACCGATATTTTGAGTTCATCGCGTTAATATGAGGCATCGAACATTAAGCTACGGAAAAGATAAACAACGCCAGGTGTTGACAGCATCTGGGACTCTGAGCCCCAGCTAGATCTGGACTTCTTATGTTCAGATTTTTGTTTTGGTAAGAAGCGTTCCAGCATTATCCGCCTTCAGCTGCTGGTCTCATCCATCACTTATGCTCATGCTTAGCCTTCTTCTTAGGCCTCATTTCCCCCTCGTAGATTTTGAAGAAGTTCTCCGGCTCGGTAGGATGCTCGCCAGTCACATCGTGGAAAGCAGTGGTTGAGATGTAATTGGTTTTGCCCTCCTTGACGAGGCTATAGTACTCGAGAAGATACTGCTGCTCGGATGGGTCGATCTCAGACTGGGACTTGAGAACTCTCTTGGCTTCGGCACTGGAGACGATCCGTTAATAAGCAAGGGGGATGGGGCTGGCAGGGTACATACTGAGAGATGTTCTCGAACTGAAGTTCGGCGCCAAGAGCTTTGCTAGCAGCGGCTGCGAGCTCTTTGCCTGCGCAGAGCATGGGGCCTAAAGCATGTTAGCATTCTGATTCGAGCTGAGTAAATTGAGATATCTACCGGTTACGACCATCATTTGCCCACGGTGACGGTCATCGAAGCCATGCTTGCCCTTGCCAGTCAAAACATGAGCTGCGACTTGAGCAACGTCCTACATCATCGTCAGCAATATCCCCAACCAAAAAGTCAGAATTAACTTACACCAAGTGCAACAGGCGCGAACTTGTGGGATTCGCCAATTGGAAGTGGAAGAAGACCCTCCGACTTAGCTTGCTGCGCATACAGTAAAAGATTCTCGGCATAAAACCCAGCCCTGAACAGTCAGCATTATTCCTTCAACCCTCACAACAGACTCACCGAATAATACAAGGCGACGTCCCCGTCGAAACATTCGGATCCCCCTTAGCCTCCATGACCAGCGTCTCTAAATCAATAAACTCCCTCAAACGCGGCTGCTTTCCCCTCTCTGCATAATCACACCCCGCCGAACTAATAAGCAGCACATTCGGAACATCCGCCTTCTTCGCTGCATGAACGAGCTCCTCACTGATCTCAAGCTTATGCTCATGAGCAGGGGGAACGAGACAGATGGTGTCGCAGCCAGTGTCTTGTAGGGTTTTGGCCATTACCCGGAGACGGCCGGGCTCGTGGGTGACGATTTTGGCGCCGAGGTCTTGGAGTTCTTTTGCTTTTGGGGAGTCGGGGTGTAGGGTTAGACCGATGACGGAGTTGACTTTGCGGGAGAAGTCGCGGTGTTTGAGGATTAGTTCGGCGATGAGAAAGCCGGTGTTGCCGTCTACGGCGGTGATGCAGACGTTTCGTGACATTTTGGTAGGTCTCGTCTATGATTGAAGTGTTAGGGTAGAATATTCTGCCTTTGGAGAATTAATTCGAAGGTGCAGAAACTAGCGACCAGCATTTATAAGGTCCCCCGTGTCTTGAACTCAGTTTTGGTCGTCATATCTGTTTGCTCCCTTTGCGTAACACAACTCTCGTCATTCATCGCAATTGACCTGTTATGATGCTTTACGTACGTTTGGCAAGACATCGGAGCGGAGAAAAGCTTCCGGCAACGCCATTTACGTACCAACGTAGTCATTTCTGACACTGACCCTATTGTTGACAAGCGAGGCTGGCTGACGGATGAAGACTGACGACAATATTGCGAAATTGCTCCGGCATTTGTCTGAGGGGTTGGGGCCATGAATCTGGGGCAGCGACCGCTGATCTCCACAAAATCGTAGTCTAGGACATTATAATTCACAAGCTAATGCAAGCACTTTATTAGGTCGAAAATGTTAAATTGGCAGATCGATCATCAAGATGGTACGTCAATTACGCTATTCATCTTGAGCCGGTAGCTGAACGTCAACACGGTACTAAAAGACAGAATGCGGGTAACCAAGGTCATAGATACATCACATCAAATGGCGATCAAAATAGTGCAGTTGATAATATCCATTCATGTTGCTACATCCCATCGACAGAGCCCTTCCATCGATCCAAAGTCATCTCATGATAGTAATACATCTAGGAAGACAGTCCACCCTTGCGACCAGCCTCCTTGGCCTTCTCACTACCAGGCTCAAAAGAGCCAGATGAGGCCTTACCGCCCTCAGAAGCAATCTCTCGCTGGATGACCTGTCAGAATGTGTTATGTGTTTAGGTAGCGGGGTTAACAAACCTGCTTGTCGGCGTCCATGCTGGCGAAGCCGCCAGAGTGGCTGGACTTTCCGCCCTTGGAAGCAATCTCTTGAACCTCCTCCTTGGGTCTATGTTTATTAGACATGATCATTCAAGACTCATAGAACTGGACATACCGGTTGGCAAAGTTGCCGGGGTTGGGGTTGTCGGTGCCAGTCATTTTGATAGTTGTGAAAGGTTAAGTGTGTACTAAGTCTTGTTTGTTTGAATCCGATCCTCAATCATAACATGGAATTCCTCATCTTTAAATATTCCTCTTTAACCTAAAGTCCTATGTTAAAGTGGTTCGTTGACGACGCGTTACGGTACGTCTACATGACGTCTACGACTCCACGCGCCCTGCCCAACGTCTTAACTTTAATGAACAGTTCGCTTATTCTTTATTATTTCAAGATGACGTTTTCCAAAAAGCAAAACCGACAAAATACACGGCTGAGTGACGAGCCCATTATTCTCTATGACGCTAGAGATGTTGCTTTGTTTCCTAGCAACGGGATAAGACAGCATTTCATTGGTATAAGCTCACGGTGATCTGCATGTTTGTAGGGTTGCATATCAGTTGAACAAAGCGCTGATCTTCTATGAATTACTTCACGGTGAGATCTGAGGCAGTCATGTCGTCATTGAGCTGAGATGTCAGATAATTACCCCTGCGTAAGCATGCCTTGGCGAATTAATGATGATATTTATTCATGCGATGAATACATGCTGCCTAAACATATTGACGATGATATCAGGTCAAATGAAATTGCTTTTTCTAATATAATCCTGCTGCAATGGTGACTACTGCTGTTCCTCATGTGACCCTCGATTTAGTAAACAACTGTTACCTCTCTCAGAATATGATCATGATATTCATGTCTAATCGCAAACTTACCCGCTCCTGTACCAAGTCAACGTAAAGAGTTTCAAAGTTTGATATGCCGTGATACAATGCTTTTTACTAATTGATGTCTATGCCTCTGAATTTGATCTAGCAATTGCAAAAATACCCTACAGACAGACGCGAAAATTCTGGCAAGAAAGACGGTCAACTGCATCTTAACAGACATGAATATTCACTGAAAATCCAGGAATGATTCAGCCAACTAATAATGTTTGGCAGTTTATCAAACCTGTCGCCCTCAACGTTATCTCACCCGTCTGGTATTCGATAAGATACGAGCCGTGCGATAAGATCAAGATCCACCAATAGCAAGACAAGTCGTAACGTCATTCCGCATTACGTAACCGTCTTATTCCTGTCATCTCACCGTTTCCCCAAGTCATAGCAAGCCGCTGAGAAATCAACATTATCAACTCTAATCTCAATGACCGAGTCACAAAATCGCCAAAGCAGCACGAGATCATCAAGCGCTACACCAACTCGTACACGTGTAGCTCGCGTGGCATGCAAAGCATGTCACGCCAGACGGGTCAAGTGTGACGCTGCTGATGGACAGCCGTGTTGGCATTGTCGTACACGCGATGTTACGTGTGAGTTGATAGATTCTAAACGTGGAAAGTACGTAGGAATGATGTGATGCTATGGGATAATGAGACTCACAGTCTGTAGATATGCGAGACGAAGTACTGCGCAGCGCGTCTCTAGACGGCAGCAGGCGCAAAGTCCAGGTGACCAGCACGATACTTTGAACGACAGTATCGCAGTCATTACACCTCAAAGTAACGAAAATACACAATATCAAGAACAAAGTCAGCCAGTCCTATCGAATATCGCACGGAATACTGAGCCGGAGTCTCAACAACAGAACTTATCTAGGAACGACAAATCATATTTTCTGGGCGACTCGAGCAGCTTATCATACATTGTTGAGATGATATGCAGTCCAAGAAGCGGAGTTAGCGAGCCCGTGAAAGTCCATTATCCCATACCAGCATCGATAGCAGACCGCGCAATTATGCCAACGCGACCCCAGGTGGAACCACTCAGCGTACAAGATGCACTGACGATGCCGCCGAAAGAAATATCCGACCGTCTCGTATTCACCTTTTTCGAGATCATTCACCCGCCTTATCCAGTCATCGATAGACGGGCATTTTCAGAACTTTACAGTCAAGGCAAAGCGTCGCCTATGCTTTTGCACGCGATGTTCCTTGTCACGTTCATTCTGTGTGACGAGAGTCTTATACAGGCTGCTGGATTTAGTGATCGGACTGCTGCTCGTAAACACCATTATCTTCGTGCAAAAACGTTGTATGACGTTGACCATGAGTCTGACCGGAATGTCCTCACTGCAGCCATCTTTCTTCTCGGGTTCTGGTGGAATGGGCCGGATGATCAGAAAGATTCTTGGTTCTGGCTGGGATGTGCAACGTCTTGCGCGCAGTCCCTGGGCATGTATCGTTCGTATGTGAAGCATTCGCAGGTTGTGGGTTGATACTGACTTGGGGTCGCAGGACAGTTGCATCGAGATTGAGCCCCGAGAAAAGGGCGTTGCGAAAACGGATATGGTGGTCTATATACGTGAGTTACGAGAATGGCGACACATTGGAAAGTCACCTTACAGAGTATTGCAGACTCGTGACCGTCATACTGCCGCATGCCTCGGCAAGCCATGCAGGATCAGGGACGAAGACTGCGACATAGAACCTCTTACCGAAGAAGACTTCTACTTCGACGATGACCATAACGACCCTTTGATCACCCGACAAAAAGAATACCATACGGCTCTTGCTATCGAGATGGCCAAGGCTGCGGAAATCCGTGAGTCACTCCAGATTGCGGAGCCTCTTCCCTTCTGTTTACTGACGTTTATCCAGTCGGAGATATCGTAATCGCAGAGTACAGTCCTCGACGACCTGACTTGGAGCAGTACAAGCCAGATCGTCTCAAACAGAGACTTGAAGAATGGGAAGCGCAGTTACCTAAATGCATGCAGAGGGCGCAGCTTGATGAGACACTGGGTCCAGCGTTCTGGGCAACTCAATTGCACATGGCGTACCAGTAAGAGACTCAACGGCGATCCGTGGCGAAGTAGCTAACGTGTGACAGGAACTACTACATCCTCCTGTTCAGACCCAAGGCAATTGAGGACCTCACACCGTCTGAAGCCGAGGGTGATATCTGGGCGCGAAGGGCAGCTGACTCCATCACTCGCATGACGGAAGATCTCCTCGCTGTCGGGGCGATGAGTAAGAGTCAAATGCACATGCAAGTCAACCTCGCCTCCAATCGCATTCGAAATCTAACCTTTTCTCAGTGTCCCCGCTGTCTTCGGCGCCCTCTCTATCCACACCCTCGTCATCTGCCGCAAAGACCCCATCCGACGCCAACTCGCAGGCAACAAATCACGCCAATGTATTCTCGCTCTAAGCGAACTCGCAAAGCACTGGCCTGTTGGCTTATGGATTATGAGGTTCTTCGGAAATCTGATGCGAAGACTCACGGGTCAAGGGTCCGCCGTTTCAGCAGGTTCAATAGTCGACGTGACATCCCGCATCGCAAACAGTAACCGTAGTGAAGACTCTACGTTGAATACCTCGACGGAGGTTAGCAGGGCGACATCTCAAATCTTGGCGGAAAATGGCGGTCCGTTCACTGATGCGACGAATGCTCAAGTCGCAGGCGCTGTGATGGAGACAAATGATTTGTTTCAGCAGCCAGCTGATCAGTTTGGCTTTGATAACTTTTGGGCTGAGGATACGATTGATGTTGATCTACTGCTTCAGCACGGTTTATGTCCACTGCTGCCAGGCAACTTTGGGACTTTCCCACCAGGGACAGATTCACAAGGCTTTTAGAAGAAGACTGAATTCTGGCCATATTGGCAAAATACAATTCTTTAAATAGGGTATGAAGTCTATCTATTCTATATGTCGCTGCTCTATCATGCTTTTCTTTTCCGCTTCATCTATCGCATCTTAAGTCAATCAACATAGCCAACTTTAGGCTGTAATCAATTATGTATCCTCCCCAAACCTCTCGCCGTCGTACTTTTAGATTTTCGAAGCAAATTTGCTCTTAGCTCGCAGCTTCTTGCCGTATCGGAAGAACAAATAAGGGAACGGCGCCATGGCAACCGTCAAGAAAGCTAGAAGGCTGGATGCCCACTGATAACCAAGCTTTTCGTACATCTGAATACCAAACAGGGGGAATGCCGCTATCCAATCGTCAGTGACTGGTGATTGAAGCACCGTATGGGAGGGAACATACCTGCGAAGGAGCATCGAGCAAAACTATTGGCTGCCATTGCAGAAGCAGCGTACTGAGGATAAGCGTCGACCAAGAAGGTGAAGATACCAGTAAAGACCAGCATCATGCTAAGAACCGAAGTTAGTGACGATTTTCAGGGGTGAGGCCAGAGAAACTTACCCGCATCCAAAAACTCCAGAGCCAACGATAGGCACAATCCAATGAATGCTAGAATACGTCGTCCAAGCAAACCAAAACAACCCAATAGGAATAAGAACAGCTCCAAGGATACAAGGAGGTAGTCTGTACTCGGGCTCACTGATAGCTTTTCCAGTCTCCTTCTCCTGCTCCGCCAACCATCGAAGTCGAAGTCTCGCCCAGAAAGGAGTCGTAGCCGTTGCAACAACAGTTCCGATCAGAATTCCCAAGAACGTCATGCCAGTTTGCCAAAGACTCATACCGTGATTCGTTCGGAAGATGAGAGGAAACGCGCCGAAGAATAGGTAAAGAATACCAAGGAGGATAGCGGAGTAAAGATCCAGGCAGAGACACATGGGCTCCAAGAAGAGAAGCTGAAAAGGTCGAAGAACCGAAAGCTTGAGCGTCTCAAGAATTGGCTTCTCCGTATGCTCCATCGGCGCTCTATACGCATCGTTCCCAGTCTCTTTTCTCAACATCCTCGCCTTCTCCCTCAACAAAATCGGATGAAAGGTCTCGGGCGCAAACACCACAATAGCCACCATAACAAACGCAGCCCATATCAACATAACATAATACGTCCACCTCCAATGCGTATTATAATTAATAAAACCTCCAACCAACGGCCCAATAGCCGGTCCGATAAACGGCGCCAGCGATACCAAACTCATAGGCTTCTGAATCTCATGACGTTCAAAGACATCACCTGCTGTGCCGCCTGCAACGCTGAGAAACGAACTCCCCGCGAAACCGGTGAAGAAACGAGCGATGATCATTGTCTCGATGTTTTGCGCTACGGCGGAGGGAATCGTCCAGATAATGAACATGGCCCATGAAGCGAGGTAGATTGGTCGTCGGCCGTAGTACTCGCTTAAAGGGCTGGTAAGTACAGGGCCGAGGGCGATTCCTAGGACGAAGGTGGAGAGGCCGAGGGTGGCGACGATTTGGGAGCAGTGGAATTCGGCGTTCATTTGGGTGTAGGTAGCCGTGTAGATTGAACTTGCGCATGTTCTGGAAAAAGTTAGTGATGTGAGAGTGAAGGTGAGATTGGGGACTTACACGCATAAACTTCCCATGCATGCGATTGAAACGATCATCCATTTTCGTATCGTCGACATACTTCTTGGACATAAGGGGTCTTTGTCGCCATCCCATGAAACTTCGAAGGTTTCGCAGTCAGTGGTCAAGTTGCCTGCTTCAGTGGTTTGATCGCTAAGGTTTGCATTTAGATCATCTGTGTTGTTCCCAGCCATTGGTGTATTCTTCTCAAGATCACTTGAAGATTCTCGTCGGGACATATTCCCATCGTAAGGAACCTCTTTCTCATTCATTGTCGCTGTCGTAATAAGACTGAAACGATAACATGCCCAAGACCCTTTTTTTTCGTATGGGATACTGACGTATTTAAAAATAATTTTGCGGCTCCACGGCGTAGATGGGATTTGTAATGACGCTTTCTTTTACAGTGAGGGTCCGGAGATAAGACGTGGGTATGTCGTTATCCTAAGATGCCTCGGCGTCTTGGAGCTTAGTGTAGTCGATTGGTGCATTGTGATAGGCCCGGCTTTTGCAATTGCAGGGGTGTTTTGGCCACCTCGGTTTTTGGCGCGGTTTTGCGAAGTCGGCGATTAAAGGATTGAAGAGGAAATTACCAAGCTGAATGAGACTGTTGTTGAAAGGGCGTGGTTTTGGCGGGAGTTTGGGGAATTTGCCGCGTAATTCCGCCGTTAAGAGCGAGTTTGAGACTTAGCAGTGCAGATTTTGTTAGAATTGTTACGAAATATCTGATTTTGACATTTCTTTGGCACATGCCGATATGAATTACCAAATCTTTTCTGAAGATTGGATTTACGAGCAAGTTCAGAAAGTCACAGTCAAGCATGTGAGCAAGCCTCTACCAAAGCTACTGTTACAGATACTGGATTGATGTCCTTCTCTTGAGAATGCTTACCCTTATAAAAAGTGACTGGTTTCAAATGAATCACTTATCACGAGTGTTCATTGTATAGTGCTAAGGAAATAAATGAAAATGATTGAATTTAAGTTGAGAGACTCTTCATGTGATTATCGATGTGAATTTCAATATCAAATTAGTGCTGCGTTGAGTTTTGGAGCTGGTGGATATCTTTGCCTGATTTGTTAATCAACCAGTCATCACTGTCGTTACAACGACTCTTCCTCCTCAATCCTCCAAACCTCAACTTCATTACCTTCACGTAAAACAACGGCCGCAATGGATCAGAACTCAGAAAAACCAGTGCTATTCTTGTATAAGCCCTCCCCAACCTTTTTCAAGCCATCTCTAACGGTTTTAGCGACATCGACAACTGTCTATACTCACGAAGTACGTCAACGGTCTACCATTAGACAAGCCCCCATACAGAACCTGACAACCAGCCAGATCACAAAGTCCTGGAACACATGTCCAGCCTTATCGACGATTATTTCAAAAAGCATCTTGGCCTATCCCCAGACGACGCCGAGAAACTTCACAAAGATTACTATCAACAATATGGCCAGGCAATTGAAGGCCTGGTACGCCACCACCAAATTGACGCGTTGGAATATAACGCCAAAGTCGATGACGCGGTCCCATTGGACGACCTCATCAAGCCCAACGCCCAATTACGACAGTTCCTTGAGGACATTGATACTTCGAAAGTTAGACTTTGGCTGTTAACCAATGCTTACGTGAATCACGGCAAAAGAGTCGTGCGGTTATTGGGCGTGGAGGATTTGTTTGAGGGGTTGACCTATTGTGATTATTCTCAAGTCCCGTTTGTGTGTAAACCGCAGAAGGAGATGTTTTTAAAAGCTATGGGAGAAGCTGGGATTTCCGATGTTTCGAGGTGTTATTTTATTGGTAAGATGATAATCTATTGTAAGTCTTTCACTGACGCCTTTTAGATGACTCTCATAAGAATTGTGTCGGGGCGAAGGACGCTGGCTGGACTGCTATTCACTTTGTGGAAGAAGGGTTCCCTCTACCGGATGCACCAGCGTCTCAGCATCAGATTCGCCATCTTGAGGAATTGCGATCACTCTATCCCGAGTTCTTCAGAGTTAGAAATTGATACTGCTGTCTCTATTACTTATCTGCTGTGAGCGTTTCCTAGATATTACCCCGCACCCCTGCCGGGTGGGACTGGCGCCCCACTACGCGTAAATTACTTTCTTATCGCGGCCCTCAGCCTTTCCGAACACTTCTGGGTTTCACGATTCACAGAGGGGCACGAGTTTGACTACCTTCCTGACGTCTTCTCCAACCCCCCCACATCATGGAGGGCACTCTATCTCTCGTTTCACATTTGGTCGTCTGATAACATGGGAATGGTTAACCGCAAACGTGTCTGGCCACTCGTCAAAGGCTTTCACAAGGTACTTCGCCAGATGAAAGACGTGGATTACCTTGGAAACCATACCAAGACACCTTTTGAACCCTCAGCGCCAAATCCTCTGCCAAGTCGCCGGTCCTTGATCCGGGCATCTTGATATCTTTTCGAATCAGGAACTCATTTCATGGGCGGCTCCCGGATGCTGCGAATCCGGTCCGCAGAGTTCTCCCGGCATCTCAAGATCATGTTGATGTCTGTATCAGTTATCGACACTCAAGATGGGCCATTTATCTCTGGCCTCATGTTTGTTGGCGCCGATGGCATGTTTGAGTCTCTTGGGTAGATTCACAAATCACGATCGCATAACAAAACGACTGCAAGACAAGAGGGACAGATTGCTCTGGTATCCCGAGATTCCATCCCCCGAATTAATCTTCGATGGAATCATGCCCTTCACCGAAAAAACCACCCCCAAAGTCCCCATCACGACAACTTTCTTTGGCGAGAACGACGGTCGATACATAACACAAATGAGTGCAATAGGCGCCGCTATCTTCGACTGGTGTCACATTATCCGCCTACACTTTGAGTTCATCGACGACAGCATAGAGCGATGTCTCGGAGATGTAGACTATGGTAAAAAGGTCACTGGCATGTTTTCTCAAGGCACTGGATGGGGTGTACGTTCATTCTCCCTCTCTTTATGGATGTGGGTATGGTACTAATCTTGTCTAACAGTCTAAGAAGTTTCATAATCTGGGTTTCATTTCTACTAACGAGGAACAAGAATGGAGTCTGAAATTAGCTAATGGATATAATTGAAATTGAAGCATCAGATTGTATGTTTGTTTTATGCCGCTTATAAATCCTTCCATTCCTTCATCTGCAGTCAGCCCAAACTGGTGCTGACATAAGTTCTTCTCGGTGCCTTGATCCAAATCTCACCCATTGTCTTTCCCCCACACCAACCAGCCATTTCTTTAAAACTTACACAAAGGATGGAATTGCCAAAGAGAGTACTCGTCACGGGTGGAAGCGGCTTCTTGGGAGGACACATAGTCCGACAACTTCTCGACGATGCAGAAACAACTGTTGCTATTGTCAGCCGTCATCCCAAGATGCCAGCTAATGTTTCTGACGATTCTTGTGTCTCGCTTCATACAGCCGACCTGACAATACCGAATCAGATTGAACAGGTCTTTGAGAAGTTCAAACCACATGCTGTTATTCATACAGCTTCGCCTTCTTATCTCGACACACATGCGAACCTGGTTAAGGCAAACGTCGATGGGACAAAAGCCTTGCTGAAAACTGCTTTAGCGTGTGCTGATACACGAGCTTTTGTCTTTACGTCCTCTGATTCAGCCGTTATACCCACGCAAGAACCTCTCTCAGAAGACGACGCTGTTCTGTATGATGAGACGAACGCCCCGAATGCTTATGCAATGTCAAAGGCCGTGGCTGAAAGACTTGTCCTGGCCTCAAACTCAGAAGAGCTTCGGACTTCAGCAATACGAATACCTGCCATATACGGCGAATACGATACGAACTTCGTGCCTCAGTTGGTTCAGAGTATTCGAAGAAAGGAGCACAAAATGCAAGTTGGCAATGACTCCAAGGTTTTCGAGTTTCTGTATGTCAAGAAAGCAGCCGAGGCACACATCCTCTCCATGAAGGCTCTTCTTCACCCCGAGAGACGCGATAAGGCTGGTGGTCCGGCATTCTTCATCTCAGATGGCAAGCCTCAGAAGTTCTTTGACTTCTCTCGGAAGTTCTACGCCGCAGCTGGGCATCCTGTTGCACTGGAAGAGGTTACGACGATTCCGTTCTTTATGATGCAGGCGATGGCATCGACGGCTGAATGGGTTTACTGGGTTCTGACGTTGGGATATATCAAGCCTGATATGCGAAGGACTGCTATTGACCATCTAGACTCTGGGTGCTGTTGGTCATTGGAGAAAGCGAAGAGGGCTTTGGGATATGAACCTGTTGAGGATCAGAATGAGGCTATTAGGAAGACTATGGAGTGGGCGATGAACGCCCTGTGAGCTAACGCTGAAGCCTCATTTCCGTGCTCATTCCAAGATTATGTTCAATTAGGATATAGCCACTAGTAAACGTACTGGAAGTACTTATTCTTGAAGTCTGTTTCATCAAGCAAGCCCGCTTCCCAAGCTCTCTGCTGATTCTCAGAAGTATGAAGTTCCCGCCTCGACCTATTCCTCGTCCACAACAATACCCAGAGAGCAACAAGACTTGCCACCTGAATCGCAATACAGGTGAACATCATGCCCACTCCAAGCTCATACTGAGGCGCCTGGTTAGACTTAAAGAAGAACGGCCCCACAAAGTTCCCAAGACAATATCCGATCAACAACAGGGCATTTGTCGTAATTTTCTTAGTATGTCCCGCTGTGTTGGCCATTGAAACAGACATACTAAGTGTCCAGGTCGATGTGTATGAAAAAGACATCCATAGACATGCTAAGCGGGCGTATGCATCGCTGTGAGGGAGGAAGTGAAGACCTAGAACACCGGTGAGGAAGGGAACTAGGCCAAGAAGCATGATTGGGATTCTGGAGTTTTTGATGGCCGAAGCTCCCCAGCTGTGTGGTCGTTGTTAGATCAATGGTCTGTAACAAGGATGGAGGACTTACCAGGCGAGTACGCAGGCGACTAGTTGGACTGCACCTGAGGGCATCTGATATAGCGTCGTGTCGAGTGTGCTGAAGCCAGCGCCTTTGATGATAAGACCTTGGAACTGAGACAGATCAGCTAGCAGTATACTGGGAAAGGGGGAGGGCATGCCTACCGCTGACAAGCCTCCATTGGGCGAGTTACTCGTAAGAGCAAACAAGAACAAGAGCCAAGTCTTTATATCAACCATAGCCTCCCAAAACTGCGTTATCTTAAAATGCTTATTCTCAATACCCGTCCCATTCCCCTTCACCCTCGCAACAACTCTCGCTTTCTCATCAGCCGTCAAAAACTTCGCCCTCATAGGAGTACCCGGAAGCAGAAACAAGAGAATTACGCCCCAAGCAACGGTAATCGCTCCCCAAATGATAAAAAGAACTCTCCAGGATGGCAAAGCTGACTTTACATGGCCTATACCAAAGCTAGCTATGCCAGCGATGATGTAACCCATTCCTGCTGAGCCAATCCAGATACCCATGCGGAGAGGTTGTTCTTTTCTCATGTAGTACATGCTGAAAAGAAGCATAGTACCGGGGTTGATTGCTGCTTCTAGGGCGCCGAGAAGGACGCGGACAACGATGAGGGTTGTGAAGGAGTTGACGGCTCCATGGGCCATGAGCACTGCGCCCCAAGCGATGACCTAACAGCACTCAGCATCAAACCGATGGCTAAAAGCTGAAGTTGACATACAGTGCCTGACATGAAGTAGTTGATCGGAAATCGTTGAAGGAACATACTAGTCGGAAACTCCCAGATAAGGTAACCAAGGTAGAATATCCCACCGGTCCACGAGAACTCATCTCCCTTCAGACTCAGATCTTCTCTTAGGCCGAACACGGCAGCATAGCTGATAGTGTTTTTGTCAATTGACTGCAGTGCATACGTAAAACAGAGAAGAGGCATGAGTCTCAGGTCCAGCTTCCATCGTAGAGCCTTGTCAAGCTCGGGGCTTGTCTCGATCTCGTCTGCATCGCGGCATAGTGTCAAGGCTTCGGCTGTGGAGGCATCGTTTATGGTTCCCTCTTTAATAGATTGGGTATGTTTCAAGTCGTCAGTAATTTTTTCAGCTGCCATTTTGTCGTCCATGATTAGTATCAATGGTAAGAAGGGAGCGAAGTACCACGAAGATGCATGTTCGGGCTTTATAGTCACCTCCTCGATTGGACACCTTGGGTTAACCGATCGTTGATCAGTGGGTAACACAGCATAATATCCGCGGGAAAAGCAGTCGAGATATCACGATGTTGTATTCCCTTCTGAGTTTCGGTTGCTTATCATTACCCCTCAGCTACAGTGCAACGTTGGTATCGAACATGAGTCGTACCACCCAACTATCTCTATACAACCCAGTCTATGATATGCATGATGCATATCACACCTTGAACATGGGTTTGAACGTTGGGCGTCACCACTGCCTATAATTTCGCGTCTCTCAGCTCATTTTTGCCGACTACTCCCTGAGGCTTTTACGGAGATTTGAGCTGCTTGCTTCTGTTATCTCGAATCTGAGTGATCGGCATCGTGACACGGGGGTCCCTTGTTTGACCCAGTTTACCGTGGGTCCTTGATAAACGCGGGGAAGCGTGCATGATCAAACTCAACGGATATGCCTATCTGCCATCTGGTCATTAGAGTTTTCCGCGGTTGCGCGGGAAACATGATCAAGACCCCAGATGTTGCCCGAGACGGGAGAAAGTTGCCGAGTGACAACTGATAAAGAGGCATGCCCAGGGGATGAGATACTGATACAACGCTGCCATATCTTATAGTAAATTTACAAGATGCCATCCATGCATCCGTACCAGCTGCTGCCAATTGACGAGAGAGTCAAACGGGTTCTGGCCACGACTCCTCTCATCGACGGTCACAATGATCTTCCTCAGCAGCCCAGAGCTTGCTTCCATGGTAAAATACACAATAATGAAAAGTTTGACTTGGAAAAAGGCTTCGAGCGTGGAATGACAGATATTCCTCGGCTTAAACAAGGTGCCGATAATCTCTGCCTTTATCCTCAAATGAATGTTGACTTGTTTCTAGGCGGTGTGGGTGGACAGTTCTGGTCTGTCTGCGTTCCATGTCTCAGATCAGCCGAGGACTTCACTACCCCAGAGTACTCTGACATGGCTCGAGATGCCATCGAACAAATTGACCTAACGCTTCGGCTGGTTGAGTCTTACCCTGAGACATTTCAACTGATTAGTGGTCCTTCAAAAGTCAAGGATGTTTATGCCAGTGGTAAGATCGCGTGCTCTATTGGCATTGAGGGACTGCACATGGCCGGTAATAGTATTGGTATCATAAGAGCATTCTATAGGCTCGGTGTGAGATATGTAAGTTCTCATAGGGTTCAAAGGGTCAAGCCGCAATGCTGATTTTGGTAGTGCACTCTCACTCACGTGTGCAACAATGCCTTCGCAGATAGCTCTACTTCAAAGACCGGACCAGTTCACGGAGGACTTTCTGATCTTGGGAGAGCGGCAGTTAGGGAGATGAACAGAATTGGTATGTAACTTCAGTACTGCCTCGTGGCTGAGCTAATCGTGTAGGCATGATCGTCGATCTTTCCCACGTATCAGAAGACTGTGCGAACCAAGCTCTCGATCTCTCTCGAGCCCCCGTCATGTTCTCCCACTCCAACGCGAAAGGGGTGTTCGACTGCCCCAGAAATGTTCCCGATCACATTCTTGACAAGGTTCCCGCAAATGGTGGAATAGTCATGGTCACTTTTGTCCCAGAGCATGTCACATCGCGCCGACGAGATGCAAAGATGGAGATGGTGATCGATCATCTATTCTACATAGCCAATCGCATTGGCTGGGATCATGTCGGTCTTGGATCTGACTTCGATGGAATCGCCAGTGTGATCCCAGGACTTGAAGATGTGAAATGTTACCCCCATCTGCTGAAGGCTATTCTGGATCGTGGCGCTACCGAAGAGCAACTGACTATGGTTGTTGGTGAGAATATCCTTAGAGTTTGGGCAGGGGTCGAGAAAGTGAGGGATGAGATGAAGGCTGAGGGAGTACTCCCAGTGGAGGATGTGTTTAAGGATCGGAAGTGGTGGAGATATGATGGGTATTATCAGATGGAAGATCCAGATCCTGAGGATAAGCTTGGACTTGACTGGTATGGGAAACCACCGCCGGAGGAAGGCTTATATCTCAACGAATAGCTTAACATTTTAAAAAGCAGGGTCTCATCAAATTCAAAAAAGTCTTGCAGCTCTATCAAGTCACGATGGGATAGCATGTCTAACCGAAGATAGAAATGAAGTGAAAGTTATTTAATAATATAAGTGAAAGTGACGAGCCACTATCAACGATAGAACCTATCTCAAGATCCTTATTCATACAAAGCCTCCAGGTTTTATCTCAGGATGAAAATGACAAGAGAGAGACTGGCTATCTGAATGACAGGATTTACTGTCGTGGCTCAACAGAAGTCTCAAACCTCGCAGCCTCATCCTTCGGTTGGAAGACACCCTTATCAGCCTCCATGCTGTTCCCATCAGCACTGGCACTGTGGTGAGCAGCATCAACATCACCGTGACCACCTTCAAGGCCACCATTGTCAACAATAGGGCGGTTGTCAATGGTCATCTGAGGCGCAACATCATACTTTCCATCACCACGCTCAAGACGGTGCGATGGGATGAGAATGTTGAGGAAGCGAGGGGCAAGGAATGCACCGATGATGAAGATGACAACCATGTGCATGAGAACAAAGCTGTAGATGAAAGGAGGGTCATCGGAGTAGTTGTTGAGAAACTTGGGGTAGGCGAAGGAGAACACCAGGGCCACGGCCGGACCTGTGATATATTTGAGGCAAAATGGCCACACCGCTGGGATGTTCCAGTTAGAATGACCGCCGAGGATGGCGTTGTTGAGATCGCGACGGAGTTGGTTGCCCTGTTATAGAGTTAGACGTGAAGCAAGCAGTTAAGACCGGGGAGATACATACCGAGTAGAAAGCCGCGTACCAGAAGCGGCTGAGAATAGCATTCTTCCCCCAGAATCGGGGAGCTGGGATAGATGGGGTCTTGCCGAAGAAAGCAGTGAAGAGAGAGCAGCCGATGAAGATTCCAAAGCCAACGCCAGCTCCAGCTGGTGCGCTCACAAGGTGGCCGATGAGGAGACCAAGGAACAGAGAGAGAATATAGCCACCGTTGAAGACGAAGTAGCTGATAGCGCCGATCTGATCAACAGGGTCCTTCCATCGGTAGAGTGTGCAGGCCATATAAGTCTCGGAGAAGACAGTGATGAAGAGAGCGATGTCGTTGACAAACGCATCAACAGCATCGAGAACACTGAAGCCAAACTCACTGCTGTATATGAGTGAAGTGAGGCAACCGAGGATGATGACTGAGGTCGAGATGACCCATCGAGGAATGCGCTGGCCCATGTTGGTATCGCAGATGAGAGTGACGAGGACCTCAGCGAGGGCAAAGACACATGTAAGTCCGAGAAGAACCAATGTGATGAAGAACAGAGCGGAGAAGAAGTTGGACCCGGGCATTTGGGCGAGAGCCTGGGGGTAGTAGAAGAAGCCGGAACTGAAGGTGGAGAGAGGATCGACTTCACCGGGGTTGATGGCGAGGAAGCCAACAACGCCCATGACAGCCAATGCGGAGATAATCTCAATGGCAGAGTTGCTGAGAGCAATGATGAAAGCATCTTGGACAGCGTTGGCGTACTTGTTGTTGTATGAGGCGTAAGAAGTGAAGTAGCCGAAACCGACACCAATAGAGAAGAACATCTGTCCAAAGGCATCTTGCCATACGCGAGGACCCTCGAGAGACTCGCTTCGCCAAGTGCCGACATAGAGTCTGAAGCCATCAGAGGCGTTGGGGAGGGAGAGCGATCGGATGGCGAGGATGCCAATCATGATGAGGGGGAGAGCCATGGTGATGTAGATGACACGGCCGGTGAGGCCGACACCCTTAAAGGTACACATCCAAACGACAAACCAGATCATGACGCACCAACCAAACGTCTCACCAACGATACCACGGCCGGGATAATGCTTGAGACCACCGCCATCATCAGCACCACCCGTAGCAGGAATGTTGCGAACAACCCTCTCATTAAAGAAATCCACCGTATCCTCCCCATCCCACGGCAGCGGACTCTGAAACGACATCCTGAAATAAGTCATAGCCCAAGCCAGAATCGGAACATAGTACCCAACAACACTAAAGCCATTGAACACCATACTCAGTCCAATACCCTTAGCGCGATGGTTGACATTATTCCAGGCAATAACACAGCCACCGCGATAAGCCTGACCAAGGGTGATTTCGAGAATGAGGATGGGAATGCCGATGAGGAAGAGCGCGACGGCGTAGGGGATGAAGAACTGAAGACCGTAGTTGTTGAAGACGACGGAGGGGAAGCGCAGGAGGTTTCCTAGACCGACGGCACCGCCCATGGCGCAGAGGACGAATTGCGAGCGGGAGTTGAAGTTATCGCGGCCGTCGTCATCTTTTGCTGAGTCTGGAGCGAGCATGAGAAAGATTCTCTTCGCCATGCTCGGCTTCTGGCCCTTTTCGGCGACAGCCATGATGCCTGATACTCAATGGCTATTGACTAAGGAAAATAAGAGAAAACGGGTATAATAGAGAAGAACGAGCTGATCAATCTCTCCACAAGGTGGATCATGTCCCTCGATATATACCCCAGACCCCAGAATGCCCAGATATCTCGCCGAGACGCGTGCGATTAACAACACGCTCATAATTGGATTTCCTCAGGGTGAATAATGGTAGCCAAGACATCTCAGCTTGCTAGGCGTAAACCAATTGACCACCATCTTGGCGCAAACGAACCACTTTATATCACCGCCAAGCAACAGCATCTCCAATCCGCACCGCGACACTCCATCTCGTGATATTCCCGCCAAGCGACATAACAGGAAGGCCAAAAAAACCAACATTCCACGTCTCACGTGTAAAAGTACCCCAAGGATGAGATACCCGCCAAGGAAATGCCAATGCTGTTATCTGGGGTAGTGCTTATCGACGGACTCTGCATTCAGCAGGTGCTTCTTGTCAAGTAACAATAGCGCCTTGGGTTTGTGATTGTAGCGTCTTGGGGTTATTTCCGTTTCCCCGTCTGCCGTTGGTATCCGATTCTAACAGTCGCCTCCTTTTCTTGGGACATGCGATTGACTCGTGAGCTGGCTTGGAGATTCAGGCGAGTCAAGTTGGGGTTTCTGGATTAAGGTGTCTTGGCTATTTCTTGGCTGATAGTCGACAGATAAGCTGCCCGCTTATGCTTAAAAATGGATTACGACATATCTGGGGCTATCAGGTGCTAAGTGAAATAGTCTTATTGCCAAGATACTATGAGATGGACTCGGTCGGTTTAACGCGGTCAAAACAATCACTCACCAAATGATTAGTAGTTTTGGGGGCGAAGAACCCCAAGATTTATTCCTGAGGATTCAGATTCTGGTGTGTTCATCGTATTGTAACCCTAGATCACTTTTCTGGAAGGGAAGGTCGGTTGGCCGATGGAGTGAGCAGTCATGTTTTGTGCCAAGTATATTCGCTTGGCATTACTGGGGAGACGTGACACTGCTGTAACGCCATGTATGAGTAAGAAAGAAACGTAAGCGTAAAGAACATTGGAGGAAAACAAGTGGAACAGTTGTTGCCTGGTGATTCAGTTCCTGCATTGATGGAATACGTGAGATGAGAAGATAAGCTTTTAGCCTTGCGGAGAACGCGTCAACTATCATTATGAGAACATGGTCATATTCGATTCATTAGTAGTATAAAGGGAGCACTGTAGCATTGTGCAGAGCGATAAACTATCAGATATCACGGCGTGCGTTCTATTTACTGTACTTCAAGAGAATTATCCTGCGAATTAGACAAGCATCCAAGGGGCCAGTACCCCGAGAATGCATACAGCCATTTCATTGCCGTAAATGCTACATCGAAATGTCAAGAGAGGAGATAAACAATAAATAAGAGTGGAAATATGGAGTCTGGAAATTCGTAAATCTCAAGATATCCAGCGTTTAGGAGGCGAGCTGATATAGCTGATAACAGCCATATCTTGCATCGCGCGCATTTCCTCGGGTTTAGGAGGCCCATCAGGATACATAAACTCCATAACCGCAACAAATATCGACGAACCCAGCCCGATATTTGTATACGTCGCTAGCGACAGTCAGCTCCATTGTCCCCAAATTGCCGGTTGACTTACATTCGTTCCTCTCTAAGTGCTCTATCAACCGATCATACCACCCTGACGATTGTTGTTTACGCTTTTCATCACGAAGATTCTGTCTTCGTGGCGAATAATACCGCTGTGTCTGTTGCAATATATGTGGGGGTGTTATTCCGCTCTGAAGTCGATGGGCTTGTAGTTGTCGTAGTAGAATTCCATAGAGAACCTTTCTCAGTAGGCGAGGCATCATGGACGGGATCATCGTTAAATCGTGGGTATTGAAAGGCAGTTAGTATAAGAGGTTGACGGGCTTTGAGTGACGAAAGGTGATGATGTGATGGAAAGGTTGACCTGCGGTTTACTGGAAGAAATAACATTGAACATGATGAGCCCTAGTTGCCTCAGGAGTAAAGGCATATACTCTGGGCAAAGTTTAGATCTTTTCCTACCTATCGGTTCCTCTTTGGCCTGTGAAATCTAAAGTTGGTTGCAACAAGTCTATAGAAACTGGCCTGGCCTGGAGTAGTTTGCGTTATACTGTAGATGGACTGCTCTGTAGATACACGACAGTGATCAAGCAATTTATACCAATTCTCTTAGAAATCAATGTTTATGCCAAGATTGGTTCAAAAGTTATCACTTCATGTGCGTAATTTAACGTAGAGTTCTGCCCGAGATATGAACCTTATCACGCCCCTTACCTCATTTACCCACTGAAGCTCATGACGCACCTGACCCGTGATCAATTAGTCGCTCCCTCAAAATCTGGAAATTATCCCAACGCAAGTAAACCTAGTCAAATAAGAATATCAATGCGGAAATAAGGGTCTAGTGCCCCAGTTATACTTCAGCTAATGCAGGACGGGTCGTGGAATTTAACTCTATGACCGAAACTCCGCTCCGCACGTTCAGCTCCGCCATCAGCCTTGCATATATAAATCATCTTCTATGCACGATATTCCCACGTGTCAAAATCTTGTTTAACCATCAAGTTACTTAATCATGGGCAAAGTCGCTGTTGCTGGTGGTTCGTCCGGTCTGGGCCGGACAATGGTTGATGCGCTCGAAGCAGCCAAAACTCATGACTACATTGTCCTATCACGAAAGGCTACTGGACTGGAGACACGGGCTGTCAACTACTCTGATGTAGATGCTTTGACTGCGATTTTGGAGATCGAGCAGGTTGATACGATTATATCCGGACTTCCGATCGACAATGATGAGAGTGGACAAGCTCAGCTGAATCTCATCGAAGCGGCGGACAGATCAAAATACACCAAGCGATTCTTGCCGAGTGAATTCGGAATGGTCTACACCAAAGAGTAAGTATTATATTTAGTTATTGAGAGATATATGATTTGGCTAACGAATTACCAGCAACATCGCCCATGTCCCTTCCTACCAGTGGAAGCTCAAAGCAGTAGACGCCCTTGAAAAGACCAACCTAGAGTTCTCGCTTGTCTCAATTGGTCTTTTCCTAGACTATTGGGCCGCCCCACGTATTCCGACCCATATCCGCGCAGCAAACATAATAATCGATCCTGAAAACAACGCCGCTGTAATTCCAGGAGATGGAAACGCTCCCATCGTCCTGACCCACTCTACGGACGCAGCAAAGTTTACCGTCGCTCTTCTTGATCTTCCCGATTGGAAGCGCAGATACGCCATCATCACGAATCGCATGACTCTCAATGAAGCTGTGAAGTTGGCTGAGGAAGTCAAGGGTGTCAAGTTTGCTATTAAGTATTTCTCTGTGGCGCAGATGGAGAGGGGTGAGAATGATTTAACCCCGAGTATGAAGAAGGCTTTGCCGGAGGAGATGCACGGCGGTATGAAGGGTATGTTGGCTTTGTCAGGAATTGGGATGGCTATAGGATCAAATGATATCAAGGGAATTGATGATTTAGTGGTCGAGTTTCCAGACATCGAGACTTTTACTGTCAGGGAGGTTTGGGAAGCGTGGAAGTAGAAACAGAAGAATGGCGGTAATGTATTATGGAAGTGATAGTATTTGGTATCTGAATGTCTAAATAGAGAAGTTATTATCTAAGAACTAGAATCCCCATTGGCGACACCAGTTCCTCATCAGCTCAGGTGTAATCGGCCCAAGCTCTCTCATAGTTGGACTATGCTCCTTGGTCCTTTCCATCGAGTACTTGACCGACTGAGCTTGCTCCCCTGCTGCAAACAATCCACGGTAAGTATCCAGAAGCTTGACACCAGGATTCTTATCAAAGTCCACATTCTCTTCTTTCGCACTAGCTTCCAGCTTCTCAACCCACTCTCCAACACCCACCAACTTCATCCTGTCCCCATAGAACTCTTTCACTACAGGAGAAATGTCGGACCAACTGACTGTTGCCGGATTGACGCCATGAAAGTATCCCGAAACCTCAGAGATGGGCTTCTCAGCAGTGATGCCCGAAACATCAAGAATAAGTCCTGCAATGTCCTCGATAGGAGTCCAAGCAATCTCCTGCTGCGAACCGAGATGATCAGGCAGAACTCCAAGATACACTGAACTTGCGATCATACTTGGAATGAGCTCCTGGCGATTCCACATGCCCTTCTCCCTCCTTGAGCCCGCAATTTGCCCAACTCTTACCGAAACCGTAGGAATACTGGACTCCTCGGCAGCTGCGTCAAGGATGAGGCTTGCAGCGAGCTTGGAACGTCCATAAGCCATGCTTGGTAGTGTCAGGCCATGCAAAGCGTTCTCAGGCACGACATCTGGTGAGGACCATCTATCAACAGTACCAATAGACGAAATGAAGATGATGGGTACGTTCTTGGCAGCTGCAGAAGAGCATTCGACGAGATGTCGTACGCCTCGAACGTGGCTCTCGAAAGAGGACATGGTGAACTTGAAGTTCACCGGCCAGGCGTTGTGAATGATGCGATCAACACCAGCAAGGAGGGAATCGTACTTGGACTGACCCAAGCCAAGGTCAGGAAGGGATAAGTCTGCATGGAGGAACTCGACCTTGGAGAAGTCTGTCGTCAAACCACGAGTTTCGTTGATGGAGGGTTGACGAGATAAACCACCATCATCAGTTCTGTTGAGGGCGATGACCTTCTTGACTGACTCCAGGCGACAGAGCTGGTCAAGCATGTAAGCTCCTAGAGAACCTGTTGTACCCGTAACGATAACTGTTTGACCCTTGTTCAGAGGTGGCTGTTTCCCAGTCTTCGGCGCTGGAAGGTTCTTGGTGTACTTCGAGACTTGTTCCTTGATCTGATTGATCTCATGGGTCTCTTCGTCATCATCACTTACTCCATTTCGCAGGGACTGGATGTACGCAGCCAACCCTTTTGCCGTAGGATTGCGATAGATGACACGCGGTGCGATTGTCGACGTGTCAACACCCGCTCTGTGTAATGCACCCCGCAATAGATTCGTCGCAGTCATCACTTGCAATGAGTCCACACCAACAGAGAAGAAGTCCGTATCCGAGTCAAGTTTCTCAACTCCAAGCTTGGTAACAAACAGGCTGATGATGGATTGTTTCAAGGTATCATCGTCGCTCAAGTCAAGGGCAATAGATGGGCCATCTCCAAGCATCTCGGCCTTCTCATACAGGGCGGAAATGAAGTCAGCGTATAGTTTGACAGTTTTGCCACGCTGTAGCGTCCCCTTGTCAGCGCGAGGAAAAGGCAAATTTGGGTCGGCGAAAGCGACAAAGCTTGGAGCAATCCTTCCATGAGCCACTGTCTGAGCATTTGCTTTCTCGATCAATGGCCAGATCTTATCAAGCAAAGCCTTCGTCTCGGCTTCGTCTTTAGGTTGTGCTTCAGCGATGGGCTCAATTATAAGAGCTGCTTGAAACATTCCCTGACCGACAACAAGTGCTGACTTAACCAGAGGATGGTCCGAAACGACACCCTCAATGGTAAGTGGGTTCAGTTTCTCGCCATTGGAGAAAACAATGATGTCGTCGGCTCGACCTTTGTATAACCAGTGATCCTTGAGCGTGGGATGGGGTGAGAAGATGTCGTTTGTGCGCCACTCCGATAGTTCAGGGAAATTGTAGAAACAGCCCTGGTTACCAGGATCTGATGCTTTGCGGCGGACAACAAGCTCGTACTCATTCGAGTCATGGCGATGCCAATCGATGCCCATGAGCTCATCATTAAAGATGAAGTATTGCCATAGCTTTGGATCTTGGGGACTGTAGGGCGTGCAAGGGAAGAGCCTTGGTGTCATTAGTCTCAGCGTAGAGTCGAGGTGAAGAAGATGCTTACTCGGTTGATGAAATGACGTTCCTCAAAACGACACCCCTGTTTGCCAGCAAGTTGCCGGCCTCGGTTGACAAGCTACCTATCAAATGGTCAATAATGCCTACACGTGCCAAAGGCTAAGGGATCTCACCGCCACCAAATATAAGGAGTTTGAGCTTGGCCAAAGCCTCTATACCCTCCTCGGAAGCTGCCAAGCCCGCGATCACAGAAGGGGGCAGCAGCGCACCATCAGCACCGCTGCAGTTTAAGTACTCCATCGCCGTGTCAACGTTCAAAGGTTGATTGGGAAGCGGCATGACTGTAGACAGACCAAGATAAATGAAGGATAGAGGAAGATACGTGCCTGCAGCATGATACATGGGCATGCCGAGAAAGACTTTCTTCGCCCGTTCGGCCCATTCCTGGAAAGGATATGGAGAGCCATGAAACTTGGGCTGATGGATCAATTCTTCGAAAGCGTAGAAGATACCTTGTTTCAAGAAGACGGGCTTTGGGACTCCCGTGGAACCGCTTGTGTGAAGAACAACAAGGGGGTCCCATCGTGCCTCTTCGATAGATCTGTTGTAGGGGAACGGCTTAGGAGCTACAGACAGGAGGTGATCGATACTCTCTATCATGGCAACTCCCATTGTTCGTTGATCGAGGCAGGGCTGCATAACTGACTTGAACGACTCGGTGGTATAAAGGTATCGACAGTTCGTAGTATCGAATAGCGAGAGCTGAACGGCGGGGGTGTTTCGCGGAGAGATAAAGAGAGCTTTGCAGCTTGCTTTGAGACAAGCCAGAAGAATGACCGTGTATCGAAAGTCACTGGGGCCGATATATGCCACAGTCGGAACCTCGTCGTCTGACGATTTGGTAACCGTTTTGGAGATGTCGTGGGCGAGATAGTCGACGGCGTTTGAGAGTTGAAGGTGAGTAACTGGCTTCCATCCATCTTGAGGATCAGAAGATGAAGGAGTGTAGGTGAAAGCTCGATCAGGATCGTTTGTGGCGATGTCGTGAATGAGGTTGATCAAGACAGTATGTTCAACGTTCGATCCGGTGTCTTTGGTATGACCTTTCTCGCTGATTTCACCGTTTTGGTTCGACGTGCCACCTGAGACGGGAGCATCATCGTAGTGTTCGATATCAGCTCGCATAGCCATTCTTGATAGTATTAATGATAATAGAGAATAGGTGATAGTAATGCTGTTGAGTGTTGTTTAAAATCGATTGCTTAATTTTCTCTGTGTAGAAACTGATTTCTCACATTATTTCATGATATATGGTTTGGATATAAATATCGGAGGAATATTTCTCGTACGGATATACGTCTCAGGGCCTCAATTACGTTTCTTAGCGTATCAGGCCGTGGATGATGGCTAAAATGGCGGCATACAACTCGCGCGGATTTTCCACGGACGGCATTGCTGTCACACGGAGATTGGAGATCTGCATTTAACCCACTGGGTGCCGATTAAGCCGTGCAAGGGTCACTATCTAGTCCATTATTTCCGATAATTGTACGAGAAAGCCAGTCAAAACGACAGATATCGGTTCCATATGTACGCTCAACGGGATAACCAACTCCTTCAAGCATGTTTTCCCCAAGCTGTATGTTACCATTGAATACATGCATTGTTCATTGATACGCGATAAAAACTCCATAATTCCCACTTATTGTGTCATTCCTAACACGCTCCTAGTCTCGCCAGTTTCCCTGAATTTCATCTCGCTCGGACCCTTCTCCACGCAGATCTTCAACACCAAATCGGCGTATCGGCGCGGTTTAGGGGCCGAGGCCGTCGTGTCGGTGTCGACAGAAGCCGACTGAAAGGAGATTGATGCAGATCATCACGTCTGAGCTGCGTGTTGGAGGCATGGAAACAGACAAGTGATGGTGTTATGACCCACGTCATCATATCGGCATTGGGATTGATGGGTCACCGGCATTTCCTTTTGGCTAAATTCTAAGTCTCGAGTGTACAGCTAGTCTCGTTGGTATTGAATGGTAATTTGACTCTTCAAGTTGACGGAACTTGGAGTTTGTATGGTAGTAACTGCAGTGAGAATTATATGTTGCATTAAACTGTATCTTGAGTTTAACTCTATTATATTGAACCTAAATAGATTAATGCTACCTTGAAACAATGATTGCCTGGATAAAGATTATTAATCCATATCATTATACTAAAATATAGCTATTATTCTGGAAAGAGGTGATGTACTGTTAAATATTAGGACACTCCAACGTCCACCTATCCGTCCCCTACGGATTAAATAACTCAATATCTCGTGTTCGCGTCATATCTGTCCTCAACACCTCCAGTTTCATCGTTCATATTCCCTCATACATGCCAAAGCATAACGAAACCTGTTCAACACACTCTACCAATTTCCATTTTCACCCATCCTCGCCACTCCCCAATTCATTGAATTCCAGTTCAGTTGATTCATATTCACCGTCAACGGCGTACTGCCAGCCATATACGGTGCCGAAGTACCGGCATCGAATCCAGGTTGTCCACCCATGTTAAAGAACATACCCGGGTCACCAAAACCAAACGGCATCTGAAGCTGCACATCATCCATATCCATTCCAGCATTCCCCTGAGCTTGCGACCCAGTTGACTCGTTTCCTTCTAGAGACATGTCCGCGGTTTTTCTGTTGATAAAGTCCACCAACTCTGGTGTCTCTATATCCCTCTCGGCTTGCTCATATGCCTTCTTGACCGTATCCCAAGCAAAAAGAACAATGTTGGCGAAAGGTTTGAAAATGGGATGCCATCTGTCGGCTTCTGATCCGGCATATCTAGCTTCATAATTATCGTTCATAACTTTCCATCCTCTTTCCGTAATACTGCTGAAAGGCTGGGTCTTCAAATGCTGAATAATGCGAATGTATGCTGGAAACGGGAAGTAAAGTTGTAGAAACCAGCGGAAGCCTTTCGTAAGTGGTGAGCTTGAGAGCTTTGTATCGCATTCTAGCCACTCGATTGCGTATGATACTGCCGCTTCGTGGTTCGCTTGGTTGTACTCGGCTGAAGATTCGAGATAGACCAGGAAGTCGTTCATCAAGCGGCATGTTGCGATGCTACCCCTCGCCGTCCAAAGGGTCATGTAGTGAAGACGGTTATCAGTGTCACAAAACCTGAGATACTTCTCCTCCAGCATTCTCTCCAAAGCAACGTCTCCACCTTCGGGAAGCTTCTTAGCCAGCGGCTTCATCAACGGATTCGTAAACGCGATATAAAACGGACTATTCCGTATATACTCCCCAAGCTCACTCCTCACGATAGCGAAAACAGCCTCAGTAGCTTGCTCTTGGACTTTTGGTGCAGTTTTTGTCTCCTCTCGAAGTTCAGAATCGCTGACATTCATGGGCAAAGCACAATCCCAGCCTGGTGTTAGACTTGTTGGTTTATGGTCTCCCAAGGCGCTAACTCGGGAGTCGAAGAGGACGAGAGACCACCAGAGCCTTCGACGCATTTCTGCTTCGAGAACACTACTTCTGGCGTTGATGTATTCGCTTTGAAGACCCATTCTTTGGGCGATGCGCATTGCGACGGCGAGCATTGATGAGATGGACTTTGGGTGGCTTGCTGAGCGGACAGAGACCTGCAAGAGTTAGTGAGTTTGTAAGAGATTATTTAAGCGGTTGACTTACGAGGTAGAGGAATAATGCAGTCAAGCAGTCTCGACTATCAGTACGGAGGAAATTGCTGTTTAACAACGCCTGCTGACATCCAAACTGAAACCTTGTCGAAAGTTCTTCCTTAGGTTGTTTGAACATAGTCTGGCACTCATCTGCGGTAAGACTAAGTATAGCCATACAGTAGATACCAAACATGAGAGCCTCCAAGGTCGAAGGGATTTCTTTAAGATTCGATGCAGCTTCCACAATACGACCTTGCAAAGTAGGTGTATGCGTGACCTTTAGGAGAGGGTTGACATTGTCGAGGTATACCTGCCAAAGTCTGAAGAGCTGAGCAGGTTCTGGGTGAAGAGTGTAGAGCTCTACGGCTGTTTGACGGGAGCCGAAAAGCATGTGCTCATCATTGTTGAAGGACTGATCTTGGGCGTTGCTGAAGGCTGTTTCGAAGAAGCTATCGTTAGGGTCCCGATACTAGGCAGATATCAGTCTTGTTTCTGACGCTCAATTGTTGTGATATGATTACCCCTTGGCGCATCGCATGCCAAATATTTCTACATTCGTCAGATCATTCATGGTAAATGAGGGTTTCAACATACTTGACCTCAGCAACACCCTCAGCTCTCCCCTGAGAACCCTCATCATCCCTATCAGAGTTATAATCATTTGGCGAACTCTTCTCTGTACCATTATCATCGTGAAGCGGATCAAACTTGACGTTATTCTGCTTCATCAACGCCTCATATCTCCTCAACCTATCCAGCAACTCACGCTCAGGAAATCGTCGTCTGCGTTGTCGAGGCTGAGTGGCTGGAACGCATTGAACGCCATGCTTAGTACAGTTTGAACAGGGAAAAGTGCGGTCGCATTTGACTTTGCGTTGTTGGCAGAGAATGCAGGCGAGGACACGGTGGGGTTTGGGCTTTGATGAGTCTGGGGTTGACATGGTGACTTCGGGACTTTGGAAGCCCGAGAAAATGCCTTTTTCGTATAAAAGGCGGTCGTGTTCTATGAGAAGGATATGGATTTAATATGCAGGTTTTGAGTTGGGCGTCGAGACATCCTCGTGTAGAAGAATGTGTCGGGCTTTTCCAAGTCCCGAGATGTCCCCACTTCTGTGCTTACTTGCTGACCCGTCAAGATATCTCGGTCTTTACTATTGTCCGACTACCAATTTTTCTTATCACGCCTCCCCATTATCATGCTTCATTGGGCGATCCAAGAAACAATACGCATTGCTGAGGGCATAATATTGAGCCGTATTACTTCTCATGAAACGCTCAGTTGTGGTGGTGTGGGCTCCGAGACGAAATGCTCACCCGGTACTCATTTCTATTGACATGAACGTGGAGTCCTTATGAGCTAGATGAGATTAATACGATATATCTGTGGTATCAATCAATACCTCCCTGAAATTAGTCCGAGTGAAAAAAAAAGGATTTGAGATTTGATCAACGTAAGACATACGTCTATCAGCGTCATACCAACTCTGACGTCAGGACTTTGGTGCAGGCTGAACTGCCCCACGAAGACGAAAGTATTTCTACTTCAACATCTGGAGCAAACACCTTGATAGTTAAAACTCTCACTATTGTCTGTAGTTCCTTCAGCCACGCTTTATCTCTGATTCGTCAATCAATAAGACCTATATATCAGCCACCATGCCTAGCTATACCGGGAAGTGCGTCTGTGGCAACGTCAAGTACAGTGTGTCATTGGACTCACCCGATGATGCCCGAACTTCATTATGCCACTGTGGAAGTTGTAAAAGGGCATTTGGAACTAATTTCGGACTTACCACAAAGGTCTATCCTCATCTCGTATCCCGGTGAGCCTACTGACAAGATCCAGGTTGCACTTGATGGATTCAGCTACGACCAAGGCAAACCCAAGATCTTTAAGCAAGAGAATGGCGTAGTCCGAGAGTTCTGTGACAATTGCGGCGCTTTCATTTGTGAATATGGTGTAAGTTTATTCTTAAACTTATACTGATATAGATGTATAGACTGATTGAATGATAGGAACAAGCCGCGGACAAGTTCCGATATATCATGTGGGGTACATTTGATGAGCCCGACAAGTTTCCTCCCAAGGGAGAATTCTTCTGCAAGTATAGAGAGAACTGGATGCCAGAAGTACCAGGTAAGTTTGTTAGTCTTGTGCAAAATGGAATACTGACAGCTGGACAGATATCTTTCACAAGAAAGAGATCAAGGAGTAAATCCAATGTTATAAACTGGTTGTTGAGGTTCCGATATTGGCGTGTGGAGGAGTGCCCAGAATGAAATATACTATCCTTTTCACTCTCTATGTTTCTATCAATGATTCAGACTATCTTGATCCTCTCCCAAGCAACCTCATCAGTGACAGCCTCTCCCTGCATAGCACCATGTACATATGTCTCTCCAATAAGACAATACTCATCTCTCTCTCCTAACTTTCTAATAACCAACGGGGTAGGACATCCAGAGATGATCCAAACCTCATCCCCAACTTGAGCTGCATCAAATCCCATGCCCAAGTACCCCGTATCAGTGAGGACGGGTCTGTGGTTGATCCATGTTGACGCCATTATATTCCCAGGTGGCATAGCATGCTTTGACTGCGGTTTCCTCAGTCTTTGAAGCTCTTCTTGATCAAATCCATCACTCTCTTGGTTTACAAGATCCAAACTGACACAGAAGGCCTTGATGAGTTTTGTGCTGGGGAATATGCTGGATGGGAATTTGGTGGCTATGTCGTCCAGGTAAGCCATACCACGGATTGCTTCAAGGACCAGAGCCTGGCCGGCAGCGGCTGAATTTGCCTCCACAAACCCAATCTGTAATGCACGTACGAACGCTTGCAAAAGGGCCCTCTGAAAGTCCTCCAGTCGGATCATCTTCGACGGCCGGTTTGTGAAGTCAGTGTCCCAGATCAAAGTTCTCCACAGAACCTCGTCCGCTGGTTGCTTCGTATAGGGATAAATTTCATCCATACTAAGGAGGATATCGCCTAGCATGCTGAGACGTCCTTGAAGGCTTTCAAGATACCTTTCGCCAATCTTTTCAATCGTGCCGAGGCGAAAGCCATAAACATCAAGAACATTTCCAGTGATAGCGAACGGATATTGATTGGGGGCGTGGGGAACATGCTTCGAAGAGTTGACAGTTCCCATGGACCTGAATTGTGGTCCATGGACACTGTTGCAGAGAACTGGTGGAAAGTCCGGGACCCAGGATGGAAGGCCGGGAGTTTCTCGCATGCTGGGGTCTTTGACGAGACTTAGGTAAACCAATGAATCAGTCGTCTCGATGATGTTGCAGGCGACACTTCGCAAAAGATCTTTGATGTCGATATCATAATCTGGTTCGAACTCCAGCGGCAAACAAAGCCCTTCCTGAGCTGCCATATGCTTCAAGATGCCACCCAAGCCGTAGATGCAATCGCGAGGATCCGTTGCTCGCATTCCAAAGGTGGAGAATAAAAGACGCAGAAGTAACATCGCTGATGACTTTGCATGATCCTTTCCAAGGCCAGCTTCAAAATCGATCATAGCAAGGACACCAGCCCAGAGACTCTTTTCTCCCTTGCACCACTCGCGAAGCAGTTGGATCCTCTCAGCCTGAAAGATATTAATGCCGCCACGGAGATAAATGCCAGGCCTGTCCCTAGGAACAAGATTGATGACAGACTGGAAGAACCCGCTGTAATGCAGAAACGCCGCCGTGTAACCCACGCAATCGAAGGCTGTGAATCTGCCGTTAGACAAGATCACAACGTCGCTGGTGAGGGAAACTTCTTGGATGATCCAGATCCGGGTGAGCCAGTTACTCATGTAAAGTGTGACCAAACCGATAGCTTCTTCCTGATCAACAGGTTCCATACCATAGCGTTCAGGCATGGTCGATAAGTCAGAGCTGAAATCCCACGTTTGCGTTCCTATCATACGAAGAGTTTCGGGAACTGATTCAGTACCGATTCTTTCAGCTGCTCTGAGGCCGGTCTCTAACTCGGGAAAGGATTTTCCAAGCCAGACGATAACGCGGTTTGCTTTCCCGTAGATTTGATTCATTACGGATACTTGCGGAGATCGCTCGTTGGGGTTGGATTGGTTGATGCATAGCGCGTCTATCCAGATGGGAGTTTCAGAGCATGAAACCTGCAATTCGAGAAGGGCATCGTAAAGGTTTGATTGAACTTCAAAGGGCTGCCCATTCAGCAGGATAGAAGGATTTGTTGCGTCGTTGGTGTCTGAGGGGCCATCTCGCGGTGAGCCCCAAGTGTAAGACAGTGCATTGTAAGCGAGGTCCGAAGCGCTGGACAGAACATGTGTCGTGAGGGTAATACTTGGTACTTGACAGTTTGTGTCCGGATGAATACCTGGCGAGATACTCGCTAGGCGAAAGGACTCAGTATCGAGCACATCAGAATAGTACTGCGCCATTATTATGTGTTCTGAGGGTAAGATGGCAAAAGTGGATGTATGGATTTATGTTGCATGTAAGACGTTTCGGATTCTTGACCTAGCTCATTTAGGGTTAGACAAGTGACAAGAGATCCATGGCATTTAGCGCCAAGCCTTTCATAAACATTTATCGGCATGTGTAGAAATAAATGTGGCCTGATAGAGTGGTTAAGATGTGATAATCTTCCATAAACTAAGGATATTATATACCCTCCGGCTCGTCTTGTAACAATGGGTTGGATGAATGGGATCGCGAGCAGCTTGAAGGTATTTGACCCGTCGAAGTAATACTAAGGTGAAATAGAAATAGAGCCCTTGAGTCGCCTAAACATCTTTCATAATGAATCTCTTATAAGAATTCTGCAGTTAACACAAGTTAGTACAACGCCCAGAGCTGTAACGAAAGAATGAATCGGATATATACGCACCTGAAATTTCTCAGCTCCTCGTTCTTGGTATGCAATACCAGAGTATTCAGTATCAGGAAGTTCCAGCTCCCACTTCTTCACGACTTCACCATCAACTCGAAAGACAACCTCTTGAATGGCATCACCCCAGTTGAGAGCCATAGCAGCCATCTTTCCCTTCATGTCCCACTTCACCAGACGCGCTCTGCTCAAGGCGCTCGCAAAACTGACGCTGTTCCACTCAATGTTCCACGACACCCAACGCATGGTGTCTTTTGCAGCGTTGGGTCTCTTGTCAACCTGTGCAAACCCGATCTCCTCCTTTGGTTCTTTCCCAAGGAGCATTGCCGAGGAGAAAACTGGGAGGGCTTCGAATGTTGCTTCTTCTGTGATGGGTTCAGTGTCATCTTGGACGTGTACGCGGAGAACCTTGTCTTGCTCGGACCAGGCCATGCAGAGAGGTAGTGTAGGAACGGGTTGTTTCTTCCCGAGGGGCTGGGCTATGATGGCCACAGCTCTTTTGTAAACGCCAGTCCACTCCATGATCTCTCGCATCATTTTCATGTCGATACGAGAGCCACGACTACCGTACTTGGGACTCCTTCGCTTGGGTCCGTAATTACTAAATACTTCGTCAGTAGGAGAATCGAGTGTCCTGGCGAGGGTTCTTACTGTATAGCCACGGCTACAGGCGCTCCATTGTAGCCAGTCCATACCACGGAGCCACTCACACCAGCCTCAGTATACGTGAGATACTCAAGCTGATGCTGTTTCAGTATAGGATTGACGAAGCGCCCCGTACTGCGTGTCGGCGGTTCGCCAGTCTTCGCAGTCGTCAAATAACTCGAGATGTTGCAGATGCCTTCTATTCTCTCTTCCTCAGCGAGTCTCAGGGCGAAGCCAAATGCCGTCTTGGGAGGGGGAGGATTGTTGTTCTTGGGGATCATAATGATACCAAAGTCATCAATCGCAGACTCTTCATTAGGAGTGATCGAAAAGACTTTGCTGACCCGAGTATCCTTCTCAAGGATCTCCACCCCTTTATTTTGCTCCCCAAGGTCAGACCACCAGGCTCGGAGGTCTTTGGTTCTGTTGCCATTCTCATCCATGAGGTTATGGCCTGCTGTGAAGATGATAGCTTTGTCCTGGCCAGGAACATTGACAAAGAAGCCATTGCCGCCTTTCTCTATACAGGAGTCTCTCTATTAGAGATTAAACATGCATTCAGATTCTTGGGGTACTTACCTGCTCCATCTTTGGTAAATCTCAACTTTGCAACGGCTTGGCCGATAACAGAGTCGCTCATAGAATTGAGGCCATAACGGACCGGATCTTTATCGCGCTCTCGTCCAGCATCTCCGCCTCGACGGTCTCGATGCCAGAGGTTCTGGGGAACTTTCGATGATACCATGGTGTTTTGGATTTGTTGAAGACAGGCGGCTGGTGAAGCGGGGGTCTAGCAGTGCGATGAACGGCTTCTGATACCAAGGAGCTCAGAACTTACCCGTGATGAGTATTTGATACCTCGGCCAGAGCTAATCCGTCAATCTAACATTAACAATATGCCCTGGAGGTTGTTTTGATCACAAGAGAGCTCAGCTTTCCCAGGCTGTCGATCATTTTCCAGATTCAGTCTATTATTGGCATCTCCGCAACCTCTTCTATCAGATCATCAACTTTATCATCTTACGATGTAAGCAGGGTTCTCAGCTCTTGTAAGGCGCTGATCACCTTCCGGGTTTGGCGTTGCATGAAAGCACTACAACCTCTCAGGTGAGGGCCGTGCCGTGCCGTCTATAACCCAGCAAATAAGCCGAAGCGCCGTCCATTTACTCACAAATCATTTGGGACTTTGGTCAGATCAGCCAGCCCTTTTCATGCCAATACTTCTCTTCAGGAAAGTTGCATGGTAGAAACAATATCGGGCGGCAACCTCCGGGTTTGTGCGACGTCGCATATCTGTACAAGACACCACCATGATTCAGGTAGGTTCAAAAGAAGAAACGCATATGTCCACGCCCGAGATAGGCAAGTGGCTCGATAATGAGGAGAGCTGAAAAGCAACAATGATGTCGGCATGCGGCATCGAAGTCAAAGCACACACGACGTCCAACCTCGAATGCCCCGGATAAGCTTTGCTATTGGAGGCGTTTTTTTGCAGATACTGCCACAGTACGGTTGAAGATTGATGGTACTGTAACAGGACCTGATACCAAGGCAAGTGGCCGTAATGATAAATTTTAGTGACACCATAAATTGGGATGGTGTTCCATAGCAATTACAATACAGAGTAACAACCCGATTCTTCAAGATCTGCATTGCCACATCTACATCGTTCGACATCTTTAAGCCCCGATAATTCATCATGAGCGGCGAAATCAAGACTATTGCCCGTGCCCTTCGCTCTGCGAGCCACAACACCCTTCCCAATGGTGATCTTGTTCTCCTCAGCAACCAAGGCCGTCGTTTGATCGAGAAGGTCTATGATGGTGACGAGCTCAAGGACCAACGAGTCGTTGCCGCTGGAGTCAAAGAGGGCTCAACTGCAGCCTACGCCGTGGCCAAAGACAGGGTGAGTACCGATCTGGCCCAACAACATCTTGCAGTACTCTAATACGAGATACAAAGACCTTCGTTGTGTACATTGGCGATGATGCTTTGATCAAGGCCAGTGAATTCGACGAGGATGCTGAAGAATGGGATGATGCCGAACTTGAAGGCCTCGGAGATGTGTCCGTTCACGATGAAAGCCACATCACCGTCGCGGGTCTTCCTGGAATGAACCTTGTCCTGTACCAGGCACCTGATGGTTCTATCAAGACCATCCAGCACAATAAGGAGTCTGATAGGTGGACTGAGCAGTTCAACATCCCGGGAACAGCAGCAACTGGAACTCCTATTGCTGGCTTTTCGACTGACGAGGCTCTAATTGTCAGCTTCATTGGGCGGGACAACAAGATCCATGCTCATAAACGAGACTTTGAGACTGGAGATTGGACTGGTAAGCACAGATAAAAATCCTCCTTTGACTTGGTCAATCTAACATGAAACAGACAAGATTCTCCCCGAATCCTCCTTTGACGAACCTGTCAACAACCTCATCGTCGCCCAGGACAAAGACAGTGGCAATTTTGAGGCCTATGTCTTGGCCAACAACACAGTCTATAACATCACCAAGACCGGTACTCGCGATACAGTCGGTGCTTTCAACCAGGATGGAGACTTTGTGCCTGCTACCAAAGCTGAGTCTGGAGGCTGTTACGGAAACAACTGGGGCAACTACTGCGGAGGCTACACCTGTTATCGCGGCTGTAGCTGTGGCTGCGCTCGTGGCTATGCTTGCGGCTGCTACAGTTGCGGCTGCGGATGCCCTCGTCCTCGTTGCCAGCCTCGCTGGGGATGTTAATTGGAGGTTTATGTATTGGCAGGTCCCTTTGGATATGCCTCGCTTTTTGCTTCTCAGTATGGTCTTTGGACTTCCATTCACTCATAGATCCTATGGATCAATTAGTTAGTCTGCCCCGCAAGCGGGTGATCAGAATAACAATATACTCAATTTAACTCGAAGACGGGTTGCCAAATTGCCATATACCATTTGCCTCAAACGGTCCGAGGCTTGAGAAAGTCTAGTAAGAGCCTGAATCTCTTCTTCACAACTCAAGCGACTGATCGTTAAGAGTCTGTGAATATCCCAACAGTAAAGATGTACATCGAACCAAAGGACTGGGAGATAAAGTAATCACAGTCTCAATCTAAGAGAAATTCATAGACATTCTTGTTTGGGGCATCACCGAGGTTAGAGTGCGATAAGCGTCGGGGTAAGGTGCGCGATGCAAGCATCAGCGTCAGCTCTCGGCCAAATACAATTCTAAGTAACGCATCAAAAGAACGCACTTCAGGCAGCTTGGGTCACTTTCTGCAGAGATTACTGGTGATTCTATTGCATATGCTGAGACAATTAGATAACTGTCGAAAATACAAACTTCATGATAGGCTGAGTAATGAAGTGCGATACCACTAAAGCAGCGAAGCACCGTCTGCCGGATACTGTAGTCCTCGTATGACTGCATTGCATAAACGTTGAGTTGGTGTAGCAGTCCATTCAATATTGCAACCCAAGAAACGCCGCGTCATTTCAGCCCTCAACTGACAGAACCTGTCCTGTAAATCTTCAACTAAATAGGACAGTCACCACCAGATTTGGATATAAGAACTTCTGCAGCCCGTTGAAGTATCATTTTGCGATAGTGGCGTAAAACTCAAAGCTGAAATGCAGTCTGAACTCTGTTCATCAGACTCTTTGTCGAGCCCACCTTTATGGCATTTATCAGTCTCGGCTGTATAACAGTTGCTGGTGTGCTGCAGGGTCTTTGTTGGTGGCGTTATAATACGAAGCTGAAATGTAATTTGACTTGTCACTCTTGTTCAGCTGCGAGTCGGTCATGCCACTGCCGAGAAAATCCAACGGTAGCATGCAACATATCCAAGAAGCTACAACTGCGACATGTGACGGAGGAAATGTGCACTCCAGCCCGTTTATCGTCCTCGTTAATTCGCGTCACATATATCTCGATTCCAACAGCTCACTACTAGACTTTCATCTTCTAAAACACCTTCCTGCAATCACCAAGCCTCTGCCTCTTTGTGCTCCTAATATGGGTGATAATATCTTTGTCGATGCCCGAAAGGGCTCTTTGACTTCAACCAAGCTAGAAACCTATCTTGCCAAGGGGGTTGACATCAATGCCCAAGACCCCAAGACGGGCTTCACGCCTCTCGCCATGGCAGCGAAGTACGGACGCCTCTCCGTCGTCAATCTTCTTCTCGACAAGAATGCCTCTCCCAGAGCCATGAGCAAGCCAGGCATGACTCCACTGTACATCGCCGCAAACGGCAACGGCGATAGAGTTAATATCGTGAGAAAACTACTTGAAAAGGGCGCTCAGGTTGATGAGACCAGCGCAGAAGTCGACAATGATACTCCGCTCATGGTAGCAATTACTCACGCTAGAGACCCTGTTGTTGTGAACATGCTCATCGACGCTGGAGCGTCACTCCAAGCGACGAACGCGAAGGGTGAGACGGCAAAGGTACTAGCTGAGCAATCGGGGAATCCTGCTATTCAGCGTGCTGTTTCACCCCCTGGGCAGCAGATGGCAGGTCTTCCTGAGTTGATCAATGCTTTGGTGAACTTTGTTTTGTTCATCTTGGCGTATGTGAACAGCGGTGTCATCAATGGCGTTGTCAAGGGCGTCGTGTCCAACTTGTATCATATTGGACAGGCTCCAGCAGACCAAACCCTGGCTCAGGTAAGTCACATGAACTGACTGACGGGATGTTTACTAAGATATCACTGTAGGACCTGGATAACCCTACCACCATAGACGATTTCCAAAAAGGTGTCGAGAAGTATGTCGAGGATAGTGATCTCGGACAATTCTTTGCGCCTGGCAATGACTACCTACAAAAGGTTGCCGAAAAGGCAATCGAGTTGAAGGATGATCCAAGGAATCATCTCAAAGAGCCTGAACAGGTGAAAGGTCTCGTCAAGCTCGCTTTGTATCAGCCAATCTTCTACTGCGGTACGTTCCATCTCCACCACTTCAAGTAACACTCACTAACCTTGGACAGATGACAGCGGTTCAATGCAATCTAACATAACCGACGCCAACGGCAACGTCGTTAGCACAAGAATGGAAGCCATGAGAAGTTTGGTTCAGCGCATGTCCAGTATCGCTACACGTCTGGTTCCGGATGGTTCAGGCGCTCATCTACGGTTTATCAACAGTGATTACCAAGGTAATGACCTCACTGCTGATCAAATCGATTCTCATATGCAGTTCCAACCAAGTGGTGGTACCAATATTGGCACAAACTTGAAGAATAAGGTTTTGGACCCCCTGGTCTTTAAGAAACTTGACAAGGATGGCAAGCTGGACAGACCGTTCCTTGTTCTCACTATCACGGATGGTGAGCCTAGCCCAGAGCCTGTTGACACTTTCAAGAAGACGATTGAGGAATGTGGCCGACGGCTTGATCAGAATGATTATCCCCAAGAGTGTAAGTGGACGGTTACTGCATGGTATCTGATGAATATGCTGACGGGTATGGCTAGCTACCATGTTCCTTATCAGCCAAGTTGGCAATGATCCGCATGCTGACAAGTTCCTCGACTCACTCTCGGGTGACACTGCGATCGACCGTGTTCTTTTCCGCAGTTCTGGTATGTATTGCCTGATCGAAGAAGAGTTTTCCGAGTTAACAAATGCAATTAGAGCGCCTGCACGAGAAGTATGCTGAACTTCGGGACAATGAGGCAGACCTTGAAGAATGGGTAAGATTGTTCTCTCCACCAACCGTCTTTCTGTCCATTGGCTAACCAGCGGTCTTTGAGCTTTTCAATATCTTGATGCAGCCTATTACTGGTTGAGGATCGTATGTATTTGACAGTATTCGCCATCTGGAACCAGTGGTTAAACGTGGGAGTTCTTCCAACGCCAACAGTCTCCGTCAAGATATCTTCACAAATTCATGAATTCACATCATCATATAGTCTAATAATCTGTTCTCTGAGAAGTCTCTTTCTGTCTGCAATTTTAAGAACGTGTGTCTATCTAGCTACATTAGAGAAACATGGTATCATTTCTCGTTGAAAGCTGACATACGTAGACTATATTGCCATTCAGTTTCCCCCGTTGGCACCCTGCTTCCATTTGCAGACGGGAAATGAATATGTTGTTGGTGTTTCGATTGATATGTTTCTAACTATTGAGCTGCTCTTGAGGCATGGTAGTCTTGCAGATGAACATTTTCAAGGCATTGACCTAGCTGTGAATGGTGTTTACTTTTAATATAGCTCTTGGTCCCGGTGAAGTAGGCATGCGGGTGGGGTATAGTGAAAATGGGTCTAGGACTAGTGATGAAATTGCTATCTACTATAATGTATTCATGGTTTTATGAAACGTTAACTAATTCTCAAGTATCTAATTACTGAACCCATACGTGCTAGGATGTAGTGACACTGGTTTGACAGATATGAAACCATCCGGATCCTTGGCCAATCCGCCCAGCATACTTGAAAGGACGTTTGATGCCTGCGCTCTCAGTGTAGGTATGTTTCCCATTAGGCCTTGCACAAGTGGCATGTAGTCGGGATTTGCAAGCAGCCAAGAATGATGCTAACCTGGATTAGTAAACCGTTGCTAAAGGTACCGAGTCCGACTGGCACTTACAATTTTATTGGCATCATTACTCGTGTCGGTCGTGGAGGCTGCACCAGAAGTGTAGTGTGGAGTGACAGTGACTGAGGCAGAGCGATCCAGTTCCACAACGACTGCTAATAGCCGATCCAGGTCACATCCCTCCTTTTTCACTGTTTGTATGAAATGAAGCAAAGATCTAATGAGGGCCAGATCGCTGGTTGCACTCCCTTTGTGTGGATGCTGGATGATGTGAACGTAAATTGTGATAGCAGAGCACAACAGAAATGGCAACAGGCGCCTGGGATAGATTGATCAGCACGAGATAAGAAGCATGTTAGTATGTAATTAGCCTTACCATAGGTCAGTATAGCCTATGTCTCCCACATGGCGGTATAGTCGAATTGTTGCTCGCGAAACGTCGAGTGGCCCATGGCTCTCCAGCTGCGACGCTAGACTCTGAGATGACGCTGAGGGTTGATGGAGCTTGCAAAGATGATACGCTCGGTTAACCATATCTAGCGATCGGTAGAAGGCACAATGCAACATGACGGCCGCCAGGCCAGAAGGTTCCGACCCGGGTGGGGGGTTATACTGTGGTCGAATGCTCGGTGGCAGTCTCTGCCTCCAAGCTTCCAGTTGCTGTCCAAGCGTGAGAATCCGGCTCTTGAGAACCTCATCGGGCGACTTTGTTTGTTGCAGGTGCTTCCGCGCCTTGGATTCGATGACAGCCAGTTCAACTCTATGCCCGAAAAAGATCCCATAGTCTGCCCCTGCAGTGCTTTGTTGTTCTGTTGTCTGTTGTAGGTGTATTTCGGAGATACTGTTTGAAGGGACGAGACGAAAACCACAATTCGAAATGCATGTCTCTTCGAGTAAATACGCCACTGAGAGGGTCCGCTGTTTGTCCTCGACCAGTGCTGGCTCCTGGAATGAATCCGGACCACTCAGCATCTTGGACTGCTTAGCTGCCGAGGATAGAAGGAGTATCATCGTCTTGTTATCAGTTGTGCCACTCAAAAACATAGCCATAGACATCAAGGCCTTAGCTGACATGAGCGTGGGAGTGGTCTGCATCAATAGAGGAAACACAGCAAATGCGTTTTTGAAGAAGCTCCATGATATGCGACCGACCACTTCGAAGGCACTGCTGAGTGTCTTCATCTGGATAGCAATGCCGACAACAGCATTCAGACAGGCCCACCAAGCGGGATCCCAGATATCGCTGTCCACAGGGAATTCGTTCTCGCACCGCGAGAGCAATGACTGGCGGTCGAATAGAGATACGATGGGGTTGACCTCGTCGAGGTAAGCTTCTACAAGTAGAAGAACTTCAGGCTTGGAGAACATGGGAATGAAGATACGCTGCCAAGAAGGGTCATCGGAAATGGCTTCTTTTAGCCGCGCTACTCGGTCCTCGGAGAGTCTGAGCACTGGAATATCGTCCATTGTTCGCCGTCGTCGTTGTAACGCGCCTTCAGTCTGGGAACTAAACGGGTCCGTCTGTAGTGGTGCACTTCTGGGTATAGAACCTGCTTGAATAAGTGGCGGGGATTGGTCAGGAACACTAAGACTATCCGACAAGGTCCGGTCGACACAGTTGTTGTCTGCCGAAGAACATGAGCTGGTAGCATAAGCTGCAGTAGGGGCTGATGGGTTGATCGGAGGCTTTGTAGAAGTATGCAGCAGAGTCTCAACTCGACTAAGTCGCTTCTCGAACGTCAACCCTTGTGCTGGTCTGGCCAATAGGTTAGCACAAGCGAGAGACTAATGTCCCTGCGGCACTTGTCCACTCACTCTTTATTAGGTTCCCAGTCCAGATCGCGGATGCACTCAAGGTCCCTAGCCTTGCAGCGTCCGCAGACGCGCTGCTTATCATCGCAGCGAACTTTGGACGCCCTGCAGCGGTGGCAAGCCTTGCCGGTATGTGTTAATACAACTTGAACTTAGTCATGGGGCTGCGGCGCACTCACATTGCTGATGCGCTTCTCGACCCTTCGGCGCAAGGGTACGGTGGCACCATCCATTGACGCGGTACGACCTATCTGCTCTTGGTAATCCTCCCTATGTACCTCACAGGATTTTAGATGAGGAGATCGAAGTGGATGGAGAGATGTGTCTCATAGAATGGCCGGGCTCTTTTGCGGCTCATATGCCCTCCTGATTGGCTGTTCGGGTCGGGCTTGAAGACGACCACGAGATTTGTCATGGCGGGATACACACCGATCCACCTCAGCCTCTAGCACGACCACTCGGCCTTGACGTCCTGCCGAAGCGAAATCGATCGCGCATTCTAGTTAGTTGCAATACGCTGGGGCAAATCGGCTCCGGCGTGATTACTGGTCCGTTATTCGATTCGCTGATAACCTAAACACCACGGTTTTGTCATCCCGAGCCGCAGAGCATACGACGACAGCTGATTACCACATCCTCAGCCTCTGAGTCGGCTAAATATGACCTGCGAAGTTTCTGAACAGCTAGTATATAAGTAACTGGCAAACATGTCGAACAATCTCTACAACAACCGCATCTTGCCAGATCAGAGCCCAAAGTCTTCTGATCAATTCAAATATCTTCTCAACCTTCTAGACCCTAAAACTCGCAACGTCTTTGAAAATGGGTATCGTCGCTATCCCAGGTGGAACTGGTGGAATTGGCCGTGCTTTGGCCGAGGCAATCGTTGCTCGTGGCAAGCATGAAGTAATAATCCTCGGTCGCAAGGTAATCCATCCATTGTTCGAACAGTGTGAAAAATATCTAACTTGCTGCTCCCAGTCCAATGACGACCTGGCAAAGGAGCTCGGCGCTCCCATCATTGTCGTCGATTATTCTGATGTCGATTCCTTGAGGAACATCCTTGAGGAGAACAAGGTCGACACCGTCGTCTCAGCTCTCAGCAGCATGCCTGACCAGGGAACTCCTCCAGAGGTCAGTCTGGTGCGAGCTGCCGAAGCATCCAAGGTGACGCGACGATTTGTCGCCAGCAACTGGGGCTTCCCACTGAGCCTGAAGTAGGTTTATAAGTTACCAATAATCTGCGCCCCCAAAGTCAAGAGTTGTGAGGAATGAGGATAAGAGACTGACTATGTGGATACCAACAGGCTGGCAGAGCGACTCCCCTCAACCAGCGTCAAGCTTCAAACACTCACCGAGCTTGCTAAGACTCAGCTTGAATGGACTCAGTTCTATGTCGGATTTTTGACCGACTTCTTTGCGACACCTGTTCAGAAGACCTATGTGTCTCCTATGGTTGTCGTCGTCGACCTTGTTCATGACACGGCCGCCATTCCCGGCAAGGGAGATACCCCAGTCACGTTCACCCATACTTTCGACCTGGCCAAGTACGCTGATCGGGTTCTTGACTTCACTGAGTGGGATAGAGAGTACTGGATCATCGGCGACAAGGCGACCTGGAATGAGGTTGTTCAGGCTGCCGAGGAGGGCAAGGGTGAGTGATATTTTTGGTACAAACTCGCTGTACAGTGGCTAATATGCTCACAGGTACCAAGTTCGAGTCCACTCACGACAGTATTGAGGATCTAGAGAAGGGTGTTGTCACGGAGCTCCCAGCTCTGACCTTGGCGCTGCCTCACATCCCCATCCCCAGAGAGGCGCTGCTCGCTTTCTCTGCTGCATTTGGTCTGATTTTCGAGACTGGAGGCACCAACTTCGACGATGCAGTAGCACTGAACAACAAGTTTCCCAATATCAAACCCCTCAAGATCAAGGATGCTATAAGGGCCGCTGCGAAAGCCATCAAGAACTAAAGCCCCACCGGTGGTTATATGGTAACAAGGCAATGCGATTTATGTGCTACTAGTATGGAATTTCAGTTGCGTGGGAATGCTTTTCATGGCTATATGCGCTGCCACAATTCTCCACTTCTCACTGGCTCTTGAAAATAGGAAGATTGAGGAACAGGAACAGGAAAGTCATGGCGATGAATCCGTCTTGGTTCGCCCACGCGGATTCCGCTTTCTCATATGAACTATACAATAGAGCAGATGAATTCGATTGTTCCTCGAACGCATTGATCAAATAGATTTGCCATGTGGAAGCCTTTCTCTTTAAATCATTAAATGCAGATGTCTAACCAATATATTAAAGTTTCTTACTTAGATGCACCCCGCTTAAACACCCATCCAACATCTTCTTCATATTTTTAATCGTGCGAGAAGGTGTTTTTGGCGATCTGAATACATATAAGTATACCACTGTACAAGAAACAAAGCCACTCACCTTCTTATCGCCGAGCATACGCGAATCTCAAACGAGTTTCTCGTAGGTCCTTGACAGCGCATGATGGCAGGACCAATCCCCATTTTATCATCCATGATCCTCTTCAAAAGATCTCTACTACAAAACTCATTCCCTCCCAGCTCGGGAACAAACTTGCCGGTGTCCCTTGTCCAAAACAAGCTTGTTCCTTTCGTCGTATCAATCTCCCACTGGCCATTTCCATCGGGTTGTTTTCCAACGATTACGTATATCTTTTCAAGATTTTCGTGCCATTCCCAAGTGTAAGGTACGTCATCGTCGGTTTGGATAAATCTCGCTGATACCGCCAAGCTTGTAACATATGTTGCCACGGTGTGATTCCGGTCGATGAGATCTGGCTCGAAGCCACGATCGACAGCCTCTATCTCGGAGGCGTCTATCTTGTTCGCGGGGAAGTAGACAGTATCTCTGTCCTTGTCCATTCTGCGCTTGAACTTGTATTTGCCGTTTCTGCATCGATTTTTGATGTTGTTATCGCGAGCCCAAGCTAGTGCAACCCGGCGCGCCTCTCGACTGACATCCACGATTGGTATATGAACTGGTGTTGACAATTTATCGTAGCGAAACTCTAAGCGTATATTATTAGGATCGTTGTCGGACCAATCCGAGTCTTTTGGTGTAAGGTATTTTGGGATCCAGCAGCCTTTCTTCCATTGGCATATTCCTGGTTGGCGGGGTTCTGATAGGGCGTGATACCAGATTTGATCGCGAAGTTCTGGGGGTAGGTTTGGGAAAAGAGTAAACATCCTGACGATTAAAAAGGGCCAATAGTAATTTTAAAGGAAAGAAAGTATTTTTCAGAGCACGAAAGGAGGGGAGGGCCTCATTTTGTTCCATTTTTGAAGACTTTGGCAGCGAATGGTTACTAAGAGGCTGTGATAGTGGCTGAGTGCTATAGTCCTGGCGGGCTGTCGTAGGACCTCAGCGTGTACGCCAGGGCCAATCAGGGCATATCCTGCAATTTTGCAAGCTATCATAATACCTATAGGACCAATTCCTACACATGATCTCCCCTCGAGTTGTTTCAAGGTTGAAAGGAAGACATGAACAATTTTCTTGGCCCACTGACAGCGCCGATCGCAATGCGTTTGAGACCCAGATATATTCCTTCAGGCTCCACGATGGCTTAGTCAACGCTTGAATGCAACGCCAACAAAGCTCAACAGGCCGTCCTTGCTTGAATCTTACTCACTTTCATCCTCGCTCATCTCAGTCTCAATTGTCGTCGGATTCATTATCGGGAACTTCGACCCAACACGGTTCGTTCAAGCCACGAAATGTTAATGAGTATGAAGCTGAGTCGCTGACGCGTACAACATAGGACCCCGCGTCTAACCACAACCAGCAGATACATTCACTAGCCAAAATGAGTGAAACAGAGAATAAAGTGTCTGATGTTTCGACACAAACAGTACCGTCTTCGGAGGCTCCTGAGTTGGCAAAGCCATGGGTTGAAGACGCCAAGTACCTTTTAGTCGACGACAACAAAGTCAACATGAAATTGATGAAGCACCACTTTGATAAACTCGGTCTCAAATATAACATCGCATGGAACGGCCAAGAAGTCGTCGACATGTACAAGGCGCATCCCGAGCGGTGCAGACTGATACTGCTCGATATTTCCATGCCTGTCATGGGCGGCATGCAGGCTTCACTTCTTATAAGACAGCATGAGAGCGAGAACAATCATCAGCCTGCTGTCATCGTTGGACTTGTGGCGGGGGATATTGAGACGGAGAATCGACGAATGGTGGATGAATTTGGAATGAATACGACGTTCAAGAAGCCGGTTAGGATGGAAGGACTTCAGGAACTTGTTAACAATTGGCCTGTTTGAAGGAGTGGGGATTGCGGGATGATTGACTTTGAGATGCCGATGTCGTGCGAAGGGCGTGAATCACGATTATTAATTGATGATTCATGGTAGCAAGTTTGTCAACGATAGGCCACAGAAATGCAGCATGGATAAAGTTAAGAGATATCAGCTTCGGGATGAGTCATCGAGAATAGCCGAGGAATCGTATATAACTAGCAGATAAGGAATTGCATAACATAATAAGGCTAGGTCACTATCTAGAAATGACTCATGCAGACAATTATAGTAGCTTCATTTACATAAATACGTGGTAGGACAGTTATATATGCTGAAATTCAACTATTCCTCATTTACTAGACAATACAATGGGCTCTTCAGCTGCTATCAATTTGCCAACGGGCTTCACCCTACATCGAATTACTACTGCTGAGGAACTTGAACGGTGGACTCCTTCTCTCACCCAGCTACTTCAATCCTGCGTCAACGATAACCCTTCTGCATCATCAATCGGCTTCCACGCACCTCTCTCCGCCACCAAAGCCACAGAATTCTGGTCCTCACTATTACCCCAACTCTTCAGCCTTAAACCCAGAACTACCCTTTTTATCCTAGCCTGCGACACAACCGCAGTCGGAACGATTTCGCTCGTGACTCATCCCAAGGAAACTCATGCTCACAAAGTCGAGGTTGGCAAGCTACTGGTTTCTGTAGAAGAAAGAGGCCACGGGCTTGGAAGGAAGCTGATGAACATGGTGGAGAGGTTTGCAAAGGAGGAATTGGGTAAGACTATGGTGATGTTGGATACTGCATCGGATACTCCGGCAAGGGGGTTTTACCTGAAACTAGGATATACGGAATGGGGCGTTTGTCCACGGTATGCTGAGAGTGCGGATGGGCATTTGCATGACTGTTCATTCTTCTACAAGTTTCTCGATAACTAGATCAAGAGCATGACACCTTATAGAAGACTGTTACTTATTTATTGATTCATTTTGATTTCATAATAGCTATCATGGATGGCTCACAGACAGTCTTCAGAGACAGCGGGTAAGAGATCTTTTAGAAAGTCAATGACTATACTAAATATTCAAACTTGGCGTGATAAGGGATCTGCATAAGTTCAGCTAAACCTGCGTCCGTAGTACCTGATATCCATCAGCATTGCACCGCAATGCTCAACAAAAAGCACGGAATTACAGAGCCTGATCTTTCAGCTGCTCCTCCGTCCAATCCCAAAGCTTCTTCGCCATCTCATCATCCAAGCCATGCCCCTCCAGCCCACCAGTCTTCCCAACAGGTTCATAAAACTCTGCATTCTCAATATCTGGGGCTGTAGTAGCCCAAAGATGATTCTTGACACCCTCGGAAAGAGGAATTGCGACTTTAGGGGCCACATTCTCTTGAAGGCTCTTCATCAATTCATCTCCTGGCTCGCGAGAGAATAGGTCCGTTTGAACTTCGCCTGGGTTGATGGCAATAATCTTGAAGTTGGGATATCTCTTCGCTGCTTCTCTTGCATAAAGAAGGCATGCAAGTTTGCTCTGGGCATATCGATAAGGTAAAGCAGTTTCGCTCTTTGCGGACTTGAGAGTATCGAATTCAATGCCCGCTGGTCCCACGTGGCGGAATCCGGCAGAGCTGAGATGCACAGCACGAGCATTGGGAGTCTTGTCAAGGACTGGTTTGAGGAGCTTCAGAATCAGTGCATGTCCGAGATGGTTGGTTCCCATGTGCATCTCATATCCATCTTTGGTCAAGGTAGGTGGAGCACCCATGACTCCAGCGTTGAGCAAGAGAACGTCAAGTCTGTCCTCGCGTTTGAGGAACTCGGCAGCAGCAGACTTGATGCTTTCAAAACTGGCGAGATCAAGTTCTAAGAGGGAGACTTTGGTGCCTTCACTGGCTGTCTTCTTGATTTCCTCAAGGGCAGCATTTCCCTTGGCGGAGTTACGTGAAGTGATGTAGACATGGGCGGGAGAGTGCTTGGCCAGTTCGATGGCAGTGGCCTTGCCAAGACCGGTGTTGGCGCCAGTGATGAGTATCACCTTCCCAGCAAGGGAGGGGATGTCTTTCTTCGGGTCGAAATGATATGTTTTAGCTGTAGACATGATGAAACAAAGTAATCTTGTGGCGGTGCTCTTTGCGTCTTTGTGAGCGGAGACGGGAGGAGGAATCCTGAGAGATCAGTGACTATATCTGCCTTTAAATACTTGCAATAAATCCGGAGTTAAGAACATAACGACCCGAGAAGCAGGGAGTCTCGCATTTCAGCAAGAATTGCGCCATCAAAGAGGAGGAACTTTATGAGGTTCTGGTTAGATGGCCAATCAGGGACAACAAAAAGCGAGCCCACCAATTATCAAGCGTATTGGATCCCCACTTTGATCGCTTGGTCCTGATCCTTATGACTGCCAAGTGTCAGTTAATTGTGAGCAATATATCAACCCAAAGAGAGTTATGTTACGCATAATTGAGACAATTCTTCCATTATCAGGTTCTTGTTGGATGAAGGCAGGTCTTCAGTGACTTGCAACTAAGCCTAGTGGATGACATCCTATTGTCAGGTCAGGGCCCTTTAATACGAGCTAACGATAAATAGTTGATTCCCATTCGACAGTACACCTACGGCTGAGAATCTAGTAGAATGATAGTTCATTGTTAGTCCTGGTTTTTCCTTTCTTAAGCATGTCCCAGCCACATGATATCTGCACAAGTTAGCTGAAACGTCAAAGTAATAACAGCAACTGAGATAGGATACACCCGCCTTCAAGGCTCCAACTGACCAAAAAAGGAACATGCCAAGTTCTTCATTTTGAGTGCAAACATTTTATATATTTACCCTCTGGTAGATATGGTAGATACAATTTTAAGGATGAGTGTTCGTCGACAGGTTGACCCCGCGATTCTATCATCATGGGCCATGGCTAAGGACTTACGGTTCAATAGTTCAGATAGATCGAGGATCTAGACACAAAGGCTTAGATGGGAGGAGGTATAAATAGAGGTCTTCGATACTGCATCTGATTACGGCCACTCTTGTTGTTCTCAGCTCACTCCAGGTATATCAAACTATTACTGTTGTGAAGTCTAGTCCAAGTTACGACACTTTATCTCTGCTCTCCAACGTACAAGATGGCTATCGTCGACATCGACACCGTTCTTGATCCTCAGCTGAAGCTAATTTGAAAAATTAAAGAGGTATTCATTTCCAAACCTACATCATGCCTTTTTTTCTGACTATATATAGACTCTGAATGCGATGGCCCCGCGTCCCCCATCTGAGATCCGAGATAAGCATCGCTGGTATCAATGCACCGTCCAAATCGCCACTCAGTTCAAGATAGTTCTCGAAAATAGCTATTTTGATGCTGGAAAGTACTTGACAGCGCCTGAGCCGGTGTTTCCCTCTGGGCAGATGACGTTTACTGCGTTTAACGATGTGTCGGGAGCATCTACCGGCCTCTCTTTCTGGGCACATTTAGACGAAAGTCATCGATTTTACTTCGCCATTGTAAGTAGCCCTGCCAAGTGAACCTTGACTAGAATTTACCGTTTGCTAGGGACTTCACGCTCCTCTGACTGGAGGGTTCAAGGCTGGTGTTGTCGAATCAGATTCTGCAAAAACAGGCCTTGAGATTGCCACTAGGCAAGGGAATAGTATCACTTCGAAAAAACAAGTATAAGGCAAAGGATAAGGATGGCGATGACCAGATAATTGAGTTTCATGTTACGGCATATCCTGGGATGGAAATGAAAATTACAATTGCTCAGCTCATCGTCCAGAATGATGACGACTAAGGAGTCCGGTTTTCTACTGATTTATCTCAGAGATCACCTGATACTATAGTTTCAGCTTCATCAATGCTCAAGTATCGCAATGTTCATTTGGTTGAAATTATTGAGTTTATTGTTGTGACCCCAAAGTCAGCCTTGCCAGCCACATTGGAACCCAGGGCAGTCTAATGAGGCTGTGCCCACCACCAAGCACAGCACACCTCAACTCTTTAGGCTCTCACCGGCATCCTCGTTTCAATCCAACAACTAACTCCTCATTCTCAAGCCCTCATTCCTAACTTTTTTCACTTTATCCATTTCACTAGGGAACTAGGTTTCGAACCGCTCAAGATGGATCCGCTATCCATGGCGACTTCAGTGGTAAATCGCTCGATTGTTATCTCCAGCCCCAGACTACTGATACACTAATACCTGTTTAGGTCAGCTTAACAGCCACATGCCTTTCGACATGCAAAAAGCTTCACGATCTCGCCGGGGAATATCAAGATGTCCCAGCCGTTATTGCCATGATATGCTCCGAATCAACAATCATAAGCATCGGTTTATCGGAACTTCAAATGAAGATCCTTCGGAGAGACGACCTTTCACAAGCATGGGCGTCAAAAACAGAAATCTGGACGGCTTTTGAGACGGCGTTGACTGGATGCCTGGTTGTTTTTAGCTGTCTTGAAGCTGAGACACGAAGTCTGCGTACAAAGAACCCTGGAGTCTGGGCGAAGCTCAAATTTATCTGGAATCAAGACCGACTGAAAGAGCTTTTGGGTGCGCTCAGAGGACAACAGTCGTCTATCGCGTTTCTTTTAAATCTCCTTGAACTGTAAGTCGAAGTATTTTTCACAGTCACCTCCGAGCTGATACGTCCAGTGAGACTTTGTCCAATATAAAGAAAGACATTCGGAAACATGCTTCGAGGATAAAGGCAACTGCTTCAGAAGCCCAGTCGCTGCGGTCTTGCAACCCTAGTGTCAAAATGGACTCGGAGTCCATCTTCGATAACGATGCTGCTAAGCTCAGCTTATTCGAAATTGAGGCTGTTTCCGGTAATGCACCTTCTGAACTTGACTTTGAGTTCGATGATCTCGTTCTCAATAGCCAGGCATACAGAAGGGTCTTTATCAAAGCTCAGTCCGGGAGCCAGCAGCCCGTAGTGGAAGATGTGGGCTCTGATACGGCGACGGTGAAAGAGGTTGCAAAAGATATGGACCTGATATCATTTCCAGAAGTAGATAAAGGTCCAGTGCAATGTCAGGAAAACACCACTTCGTTAGTGAGAGACTCGCAAAAGAAAGCAGTTTCACTCGTGAAGGAAGTAGTGAGACCATCGTTTCGAAGGGTAAAGGTTGGCAGCTGGTCAGACTTGCATATTCCTCAACCTTCCCGGCTCCCCAGCACATCTACTTGCCATAGCTGTTTAAAGACAATTACAGGCTATCACATGAGAGAATTAGATGGAATATGGCATGTGGAATGTTTCACATGCTCTGTAAGTACAAGACCCATAATGTTCGAGCCGCTTCAACTTACAAAAACGATCTAGGACTGTGGAGTTTCTCTCCAAAGTGGCTATCACCTATTGAAAGATGAAATTGGCATCCAACCAATAGCACTGTGTGAGGACGACTACATTCGACGACGGGATATACAGTGCTTCAAGTGCCAACAGCTGATCATAGGTGACTTTGTAACAGTTCTTGATCGTCGGTACCACGTAGATCACTTTACCTGTGATCAATGCGAAACAGTCTTCACCGAGGGAAGTGAATGTTATGAAACCGATGGTGGAATTTACTGCATGCTACATTTCTGTCGGGACGTGGCATATTACTGCCATGCCTGCAAGTTTCCAATCATGGGAAGTTACCGCGAATCGGACGGTGAAAAAAGACAATGGCACACCTTTTGTTTCGATCTTTCATCCTGGGGGTTGGAACTCCCAGTATCACCCGAAGGCCGCCGATATCTTGACTCCATTGAGGATACATCCCTAAGAGGACTAAGCAAGTACTATCAGGAATTACACGATACTCGTGCTAATCAGATCTATCTTTGTGGATTGAGGTTTATTGAGGACTTTCGAGATTCACTTTCTCATTCTTTACGTCTAAGGACAGTAAGGCCTGGTGCAGAAAGTTATGAAGCCTTCAAAGTCATACTTTCTATGCTCTCGTGTCTCTTCAAAGCCGCTGCAAAGGCCACCACCAATTGTAAGAACACTCTGCGATTTGGATGACCGATGCTAACGTCTTTAATACAGGCGCTGGCGAAGGTGAAATCAGCACATTTGTCTTTACATCCTACAGATACTTTGTACGCTATAAACAGGGCCTACAGCCATCTCCTGAAGATGTCGGGCAGTGCGTATCAGAACTACTTCAACCCCTGCTAAGAGTATCTTTTGAGGTATATTTACAAAGCAATGATACGTCATGGGACACTAAACATCCCCAGCTTGACGAATTTGTCAAGACCCTGGGGGCATCACACTCTCTCGAACTGGAGGATCGTTATAGCCAGGAGCCAACTGGCGCTGCTGAAGAAGGCTGGAGATGTACAGAGTGTAGGAGGTTTATCACGAGAAATGGGTTTTCTGAGCGTTCGTATCCATATCGGAAACTGCATGCACGTTGTTACTCAAAATTCACGTGTCAGCATGAAACATCGCAGGGTGGTGGAGTCGATGATGTATGTGAGTGCAGGAATTGCAGATGGAAGAATAATTTTGATGTCATTCATCATCATGAATCTGCGTTGCATGATCTATGGCGAAGTTGGTATGTGTCACCAGACCGGAAAGACTGACATAGAAGTTAGCGAGGTTGTGTGCTCGGAGAGCTCAAGGTCTAGCCTCTCTGATAAGTACTAGGCATCAATCTGATCACGGCAAAGTGTTTGCAAATAAAATCAAGTTCAGTTAAAAGCCTTGTGCGTAGTCCGTCTCCGCGTGCTATATTCCGTACCGCGTCGAGAGCTCATTCATTTTGTCCAGGTAAGTTGTGTCTCAGCACAAGTTCTGCCGAGATCAGCCCACTGCAAAGAACTCCATTTCTCCGGATTTTCAGAAGCCTCCACGAAATGCTTCATAGCCAGAACAGTCTGCAAGGCCCATTTCTCCGGACTCACCCTTCCAACACCTGTCGCCAACGGAGTCATAAGAACACTCTGAATCTGATCATATTCAGAGGCATCGCGATTATGGTTGTCGATCGCACACAATAAACTCCAAATACACTCATACACAACCTCTTTATCCCATCTCACATCAGCAGGCATCCGCATCGTTGGACAAAGCGCAACACGACGTGTCCCATAAGCATTCCGCGATCTCGCTTCAAACTCCTTCGGTATCTCTACCAACGTACACGTTCCCGGCGGTGCGAAACCACGCCAGGTTTTGTAAAGCTGAGCTTGCGCAACGCCAGTAAGAGCATGGTAGTCATCGCGCGGGGAAAACTGTCGAGAGATAGCATCGTCAAAAGCACCATCAAGACGACCGTAGGAATTGGCGGGTGAGACGACGGTGTCAAATTTGACTTTGCTTGAGAGCTGGGATAAAGCGCAGTTGTGAATCTCGATTGAGATGGAGTCAGGTAGTTTGCGGCTCTTGCGAGCGACGTTGAAGGCGTCGCTGAATTGCTCTTCCATGCAGAGGAGATGGATGTGGGGAATGTGAGGGGTTTTGGTAGTCATCTTGGATGTTGTTTGCTAATTGCGGTAACTTTGGGAGAATAGTTTTGACGACTAGCTATCTGCAACAATGTGAGCTAGATATCAAGGAGCAAAAAAATGATGTGTCGTCCAAGGTCAGATGATGTGGCTGAAGCGGGGTCACTTCTACGGAGCCGCTGACTTCAGAAACAAGATAGTAATCACGAACATGAATGATTAGGCCTAGGGAGGCTGGTGCTTGAAACCAGATAGAGGATATAGATACAACATGTTTGGTTAGCATATATTAAATAAAAAAGATAAATTTATAAATTATATAATAATTACAGATAAAGCTTCTAAAGTCAAAAGAGCAAGTAGCTTCTATTATTTCTTCCTTTTACCTTGTAGAATTTCAATATCAGCTTCTAATATCTCCTTACTGCTATATATATAAACTTAAGAGGCATAAAAGAAATTTCTTAGATGTAAATAAGCCATTCTTATATTAGTTTTTAATTCGAATATAACGAGAAGATAGATGACTTACAGCATGATAACTGTAGATAGCGCACCGTCGTAATCCGATTGAAAACTTGCCCGGGATTCCTTCATGTCAGCAGTAATGGCTCTTGGCTAGACTTCAAGATATCCTCCCAATCTTGCCGTTTCCTACCCAAGACATCCTGAATCTGGCGATAAGCCCACAGCTCCTCCAGTACTTCGAGTGCTCGCGAGATGTTGCGAAATCTCCGTTTCTTATACGACAATTGTAGTCTCGTTCGAACGAGCTCCATTTGGTCAGTACGTTCAACTTCCCCTCCAACAATGAACAGAGGAAACAAGAGGGAGGACTCGGAAATGTCGTTTTCAGGCACTTGTCCAATACTATCCAAGGTATTCACCACAATCGCCTGAAGCTTTTCATTCAGAGTGCTCAATGATAGCCCATAGGCGAGGGAGGAATTACTGTCTGCTTCTAGATGGCGGCGCATCTTTCGATAAAGATAGATAAGCGCAGCACCGCGGTACGCATATGCTGCAGCCTGGAGAGTTGATGAAGTTCCAGCAGGACACTTCCAGTTTTCGATCTCATGCTGGATGCTGAGGTGGTTCCTTAACGGGTGAATACCCCTCTCCATATCGGTGGGGTCGAAACTCAAGCAGGTTGTTTGGCCTATGTAGACAAGAAGCTGTGAAGCAACGCCCAAGTACGTGTCGAACTCGTGTGTGATATTCCTGAGATAGTCGGGGCTGAGCAGAGGTTGGGTTCCCAGTGTTACACTACCGATGATATCATGGTATGCAAAGTTACGGAGGATCCATCGCCCCTCTGATGTCAGCCTCAATGCCTGAGCTCCCTGAACGATCGACCCATCAGCCTGGTCTGTTTGACTTTGAGCACACACAATAAGATGTTTGGCGCCGACAAGGTGATTATACCAGCTCTTATGACTTCCCAAACACACCTCAGAAGTCAAAAGAATGAGGCAAGCGGATAATGCTGTTTCAGTGACGGAAGCAGCTTGATCTGGGCGGCTGACAGTCATTGACAGTTCACATAAGGCTTTGGACCGTGCCGCCAGCGATACGGTAGTATAACTTGGGTCTGAACATGACATGTGACCAGATGAGTATGCGATGAGGGCTTCAGCTAGTGCTGGTGATTCCATAGCCAGAGGGAGAAAGTCTTGAGGGATCTTAGTTCAATAGTAATCACTATAGTAAAACGCGACGCACCAGATAAAAATGAGTTATTATTTTTACTTATAGTCAAGAGTTCCGAAAGGACTCTGATGTAGTGATTCATCGCCTGGCGTCTTTTAGGAGAGTTCAGGTTCAGTGGCAATGGAGATAGTTGTGTAGTCGGAGCCGGGGGAGTATCAAGTTGATGCCGAGTTAACTGCGGTTGGATATTGTCATCGCCACTACGTGGAACGACCCGACGAATGGGATCTCGAACACATTCCAAGTTCAGTCGAATGCATGTTCCACAATTGGGAAACGTATTTTCTGTGCATTTTTTCCGTCTGGCGTTCGCGGTGAGCACAGCACCACTGATAGGACATGGACCAATTTGGTTTGAGTAATTACCTATAGCGACAAGTCAAGCAGCCCGTCTTGTCGTGCTTTGACCCTTTTCTCTTTTTTGCCTTGTCTTGCTCCATCATCTGTGAAGTCAAGTTTGACATGACTTATTGACGCCATCAAGAGGAGGTGGCGGCGAAGGTCGGAAGAACGTGTACCCGTGGAGCGACGCAGAGCATGACAATGGGGCCATCCATACCCGCACGGGTACCCGTGCAAATAAAGTCACACGGGTACCCGTGCAAATAAGATATTATCACATTAGCAACCCTAATTATTTAAAAATGCCTTATATAAGTAAATTAAAGCTAATTAACTACTTAAGACCCTATTTTTTATATATCCTAGATTTAGTTATCTTTATTAACCTAATTCTCTATTAATTAGTACTTTACTTGCCTTATTTATAATAAATTAAGCTCTTAAAGTCTTCCCTAATAATGCTCTCCTCCTAAAAGCTATTTTTAGCTTATAAAGTAAGTTACTTATAGTAATTAATAAATAGGTAAGTATATATAGTTATGCCTTTATTATATAGAGATCTTTAAAGGTAAAGACTCTTAATTAAGCTCTTATAGTTACCTATATATATAATTATAAAGGAGGGCCTAGGTCTAACTAGGCAAGTAAGAGGAAGACTTTATTATACTATATAGCCTGCCTCTTTTTAATTAATATTATAGAGAGCAGTTATAAGACTTAATAGGCAGTTAAGTATTACTATAACCCTTATACTTATATATATAACTATAAGCTAAGCTATAGGCTAAGGGCATATTTAGTTTATTATTAAATTATAAGTAATTAAGAGTAGACTATATAGCTGCTTATAGAAGCCGGCATAAAGCCTAAAGAGATATAGATATTTATTAAGCTTTTAGATAAATTCTGCCTTATTATATAGCAGGATATTTATAATGCTATTATATAAAGTAAATAAGACCTTATTAAAGGCTAAAGCTTAATATATGCCCTTATTAATAAGCTTATTAATTTAGGCTTTAAAAGCCATTTCTGCCTTAATTAAGATAATAAGGTTACTGCAGTATTCTTTATTAATACAGACTTTTTTATATATACTAAGTCCTATTTAAAAGTTATAATACTTAACTATATATATAAAATAAATAAGTATAAAATGCCTTTTTTTAATATTATTAGTATTAATACTTATAAAAAGAGCTTTTATATTATATTTATATTTATAAGTAATAAAGAAAAAGCAGACTATTTTTGTAATAGTTAGGTCTAACTGTGTTAAACTAAGCCGTGCTGGGTTTATTATTAGCAGATTGCATAAGGCATATACTAAGCGTTATTAAAGTATTATATCTCTTAATAATAGATTTAATGCATATTAGGCTTAATTAATATAAAGAAGTTATATTAATAGCTAGTAAGCTAGAATCTATAAAAGTACTAATAAATATATTCTATATACTTATAGTAACTTACTATAATAAGTTAGTACTTATATATAAGTTATAAGTCTAATTATAAGTCTTATTAAGCGGCTTATAATAGAAATAAATAGAAAGCATAAGTTATTAATTAATTAAGGGAAATTTATAAGTTCTATATAACATAACCGCGAGGATTATAACACAATATCTCCCCTCTATTAAGTCTTATCCCTAAGACCTATATAACTCCTATTTCGACTATCCTTCTTCTAGTAAATCTAACTTAAACCTATAATTATCCTCCTAATATTATACTAATAAGATATTAAAGTTAAAGGCTACTTATAACTAAAAAGTATAAGTAATCTTAATTAAAAATACTAGTTTTCTTATTATACCTTGCAGTTATTATAAACCTTAAAACTTAAAGTATTAGGCTAAGGAGGGTTATAAGTATTATATATAATGCACTTATTATAGTTATAAGTATAATAGCAAGGGTATTACTATTCTTAAAGGTTTATAAATTTTTCTTAATATATAATTTTTATTATTAACTTATTATAGCTAATTATTTTGCTACTAAGAAGCATCAGTTAGAGTATAAAGAGGAGTTAACTAAGACTAAATTAATAAACTTATAATAGCAAGTAAATAAGTAATTAAGTTATTTAATGTATCTTTATTATTAAAAGAGGCAGCTATAAGAGTATAGTAAAGAGATGCTTTATTGCAATGTTGAAACTATAGATAACTTAAAAGTAGTAGATAATGCTAAGTTATTTACTACTATTAAGGCTTAGTTAGCAGGTACTTCTAATATTATTAACTAAGGTAAGATTTTTTTTATTAGCATTACTAGTAAAAATTCTTTAGGAGTTATTAGGCATTAGTAAGATATTTTAAAGGTTTTTATATATTTTCGTTTTCTAGGTAATTTTTCTATTTAATTAGATATATTCTTTATTTATTAATTATATCTATTTTCCTAATTACTTCTGCTTTATAGGCTTCTAGTCCTGTAATTTATTATAGTTCGTTATCCGTTTTAACTTATATAGTGTCTGCTACTAATTCGAGAAATAAAACATAAAAGATTAAATAAAGCCTAACCTTTAATAGTAAGTCCAGTTTATAATTATTTTCTAAAATTTTCTGTAATACCTTATAAGGTCTAATAAATTTATAGTCTAATTTATAAGTTAGTTAATCTATTTTAATGTTTTTTATAGCTAGGTAAACCATATCTCCCTCTAAAAAGGTTAATCCCTTTAACTATTTTAGGTTATAATAGTTTTTTATATATTTTTTAATAAATTCGAGTTTTATTTTTATTTATTTATATAGATTTTTAAGGTTATTACTTTTAAGTATAGCGGCTAGATTAACTGATTTTTCTTATTATATATTATAATATATATCTAGTATAAATCCGAAGTTAGTATAAGCTGGCATAAGCTTGGTGCTTTTATTATATATAGTATTATAGGCAAGTTAGGCTATTAGTAGCTTTTTAACCTAATTATTTTATTTATAATTAATATAATACTATAGATATTATTTAAGTACTTAATTTATTTATTTAGTTTATTTATTAACTTGCGGTTAGAATGTGGTTATAAGTCTGTAATTTAGTCTAAGTTATGCTATAAGTAATTGCTAAAAGTTTAATATAAATATAGGTCCTCTATTAGAAAGAATTTCCATTAGTAACCTATATATGCTAATAATATATTAGTAAAAAATATAAAAAAGTTCTTTTATATTTATTACTTCTCTATAGGGTAGATAATAGGAAAATTTTATAAGTTAATCTATAATAACTATAATACTATTATAGAAGATTCTAGTTAAGGGTTCTTTTAATAAGGGTAACTTTATAATAAAGTCTATTATAATTAAGTCCTAAGGTTATTATACTACTAGAAGTGGTTATAATTATCTATAAGGTTTATATCTCTAAGCTTTTATTCTTAAGCAGAGATTGCATTATTAAATAACCTTTTTTACTATTCCTTTTATTTTATTTATATTGTATTTTTCTTATATTCTTTTTAGTGTTTTTATAATGCCTTAATAGCTATATAAGGGATGTTTATGTATATCCTATACTAATTCTTCCCTAAATTCATCTAGAATGAATTATATATATAAATTGCTAAAAATCATTTCTTATAAGTTATAGGGTCTTCTAGCTTTAGCTTCTTTTAGCCATTCTTTAAATTTTATACTTTTCTATATTTAGGCAATAATTTTAGCTATTCTTGTAATTATCTTAACTAGTTAAGTAAACTAATATTCTCCCTTTAAGTTAATCTCTAAGAGTTATTCCTTAGTTTTAATAGTTCCTATATCGAGATTAGGCTATCTACTAATAGCATCTACGCGTCTATTATCTATACCCTTATAATATATAATTATAAAATTAAATTTATATAGGTATTTAGTATATCTTAATTATTATTAATTTAGCTTTTATATTATTATAAAGTATATTATATTCTTATAGTTAGTAAATACTTTTATTAGGTATTTACTTCTTTTAAGGTAGTATCTAAATTCTTTAAAGTAATTAATAATAACTAGGAATTCTTTATTATAAATAGGATAGTTAAGTTCTGCTTTATATATCTTATAGGAGTAGAAAGTAATAGGGTATAGTATACTATTATTATCTTATTATCCTATCTATCCTCCTAAGGCAAAGTCAGAAGCATTAGTTTTAAGTTTAACTTGCTGATTTAGGTTAAATATTACTAAAATAGGTTTATTAGTAATAGCTTCCTTAAGCTATTTAAAAGCCTTTTATACTTAGCCGCTCTATTAGAATTATTTATCTTTTTTAGTAACTTCAGTAAGAGGAATAGTGACTTTACTAAAGCCTTTAATAAACCATTAGTAGTAGTTAGTAAATCCTAAGAAGGATTATATTTCCTTTATTAATATAGGGATCTTCTATTTAGCAACTGCAGTAATCTTCTGCTTATCTATTCTAATTTTATTATGTAAGATTTTATGCCTTAGGTAGGTTATCTAAGACTAATAAAAGTAACTTTTTATTAATTTAATAAGTATATTAGTATCTTATAGCGCTTTTAAAACCTTATAGATATATTCTTTATGCTCTTCTTTTATATTAAAGAAGATAAGGATATTATCTAGGTAGTATACTATAAAGATATTAAGGTATTCTTAAAGTATATTTATAATTATATATTAAAATACTATAGGTATATTAATTAATCTAAAAGGCATAACTAAATATTTAAATAATCTATATTTTATTCTAAAGGCTATTTTCTATTTATTACCTTCTTTAATTTAAATAAGGTTATAGGCAGATTTAAGGTTAAGAGTTATAAATACTTTTTTGCCAAATAGGCAGTCCTTAAGTTTGGTAATAAGGGGTAAGGGTGTTTAGTCTTTTTCTATAATCTTATTAAGTTATTTATAATCTACTATAAGTTATAGTTTATTTATATTAGGTTTTAGTATAAATATAACTAGGTATCTAGCTAAGGATTTTAATAGTTAAATATATCCTTTTTATAGCATATTATTTATCTATTCTTTAAGCGTATTAAGCTTATCTCTAGATAGGTTATAGATAGGGAAGAATTTTAGATTCTTTCCATCTTTTAATATGATTTTAATATTATAGTTTATATATTAAGGTAACTTAGTATCTAGTTCCTTTTAAAATAATTTCTTATAGATATAATACTC